AAGCCATGATTGATGAAATGCAAGCTCTTGAGCACAATGGCACTTAGGAGCTTGTCTCTTTTCCTCCTGGTAAAAAGGTTGTGGGTTGTAAGTGGGTCTATGCAGTTAAAGTTGATAATAATGGTAAAATGAATCGTCTTAAAGCTTGTTTACTAGTTAAAGGCTACACTCAAGTTTATGGTCTTGACTACTGTGATACCTTCTCTCTAGTAGTTAAGATTTCCACTATTCATCTTTTCCTTGCTATGATTGCGATTCGTCATTGGCCCTTCACGAACTGGACATTAAAAATGTCTTTCTTCATGTTGTACAGTTGTTTGGCTTGAAAAGGAGTGAAGCAGATCACTCAACATTTTATTATCATTCCTCTTCAGGCAAGTGTGTGTACCTTATGGTTTATGTTGATGATATTGTTATTGCAGACAATAATTATACTAAGATCAGTCAATTGAAGAATCATTTATTTGCTCACTTCTAAACCAAAGACCTTGATCAATTGAAGTATTTCCTTGGTATTAAAGTGGCTCAGTCAAATGAAGGTGTGATCATCTCTCAGAGGAAGTATGTCATCGATATTATAAAGGAAATAAGTTTAACAAATTGTAAACTCATTGATACCTCAATGGACCCTAATTAGAAATTGATGGGAGATAAAGGAGAAAAGTTATCAAATCCAGAAAGATACAGGAGGTCATTTGGTAAACTCATTTATCTATCAAATCCAAAAAGATACAAGAGGTTGGTTGGTAAACTCATTTATCTTACTATTACCCGACCTGATATTTTTTATGCAGTTGGAGTAGTTAGCCAATTTATGCAAAATTCTTGTACTGATCATTGGGATACCTTGATTCGCATTTTGAGATATATTAAAGGGACCCTAGGACAAGGATTGTTATATGAAGATAAGGGTAATACTCAAATTCTAGGTTATAGTGATGCAGATCGGGCTGATTGTCCATTAATAGAAGATCTACTAGTGGATATTGTATCTTTATTGGAGGGAATTTGATTTCTTAGAAGAGTAAAAAGCAAAGTATTGTTGTTCGATCTAGTGCAGAAGCTGAGTATAGATCTATGACACTTGCTACATGTGAATTTGTGTAGATCAACCAATTCTTTCAAGAATTAAAATTTTGTGATACTGGGCCGATGAAGTTGTTTTGTGATAATCAGAAAGTTATTCATATTGTCTCCAACCCAGTCTTTCATGAAAGAATAAAACATATCGAGATTGATTATCACTTTGTTAGAGAGAAGTTAGTGTCTAAGGAACTTGTAACTGAATTTGTGAGCTCCAATGAGAAACTGACGAACATTTTAACTAAATCCTTGAGAGGTCCTAGAATTCAGTTTATTTGTTCCAAGTTTGATGCATACAATCTATATGCTCCAGCTTGAGTGGGAGTGTTGAGATATGGTATTTTTCTATCTTTCTTTAAACTAGGGTTAAAGGTTTGGGTTGAGGTCCATATCTTCTCTATTGTATCTTTTTTTATCTATAAATACAATATAATAGTGCCTTTTGACACATTATTGGAAACCCTAAATAAGTTTCTCAAGTTATTCATACACAGTTTTTCCCCAATTATACTTTCCAAGACAAGATATTTATCTATTAACTTAAAAAACCAAGAATGTGTGATACCTAGTTTATTTGGGAATAAAACTCTGACAAACCTAAAAGTATATACAACTTACAAAAGTCATCGACATCCCTGTCATTTTGACGTTTAACAAGTTCATTGAAAATCATTTACAAAGTAACATGTTTTCTATTAAGTAGTCTCCTAGTATGATAATCAATGTCTTCTTCTATAATTTTGAAATTTTTGCCTATTATACGAAATCCTAAACTTAAACACACGTTTAAGAGTGTAAAACATACTATTTTAGATCTTATATTAAATCTTTCTCTCTTTTCAAGCCATCTACTTATTAATTCACTAAACAATGTTATGTTAATTTTAACCTTTCTACCCAATGACATCAACCATTTAAATGGTGTTGACTCAATACGACATTGTTGTTCTTTTGTTAGAATGTTACTCACTTCACTTAAATACTTTGTCCTACAAACATGTCACAAATATACATGAAAATCACAATAAATTATTATAATTATCACCAAGAATATTCAATGTTTTACAAATAGATACAATACTCACCTTCTTAATATTTGAAGATTCGTCATCTATGCTTCCATGTGTTTCCATTTCGAACTGTAAATACATGTAACCCTATTTAATTTAAGTTCATAGTATATAATTTATTTACTATGATGACATTTACTACAAGTTCAGCACATGCATATACTCCTTTTGATTACTAAGGGTCAATAACATATATCAAGAAAAAGTCATATATCAACCCTAATATCCAATAGAAAAATTTACTACTTGAAATCATAAACATCCAAAATTTCTCTCACTACCAGACAACAAAGCAATACAAACTCAATGTTGTAGCTCTAACAATACAAGTAGTACATTCATTCATTTTCAATAATAAATATTATGTAATCTTGTAATGTTAATGAACAAAAACTAAACCTAAAATGTAAATAGATAACACATTAACCCTAATCCTAAACCTAAATCAATAAAAATTAACCATAATCCTCAATTAATAAAAATTAAACTTAATCCTTAATCGACGAAAGCGAACCTAGCAATCAATAACCTAAAGGCAACCACAACAGTTGCAAGGGGAGGGATTGTGCAATTAAAAATAGTGAGAATGAGACGTAGGGAAAGCGGTGCAAAGCACAAGCTGAAAGCAATACGTAACAACTCAAAATAGTGATTGTGCAATTGAGAGTAGTGAGAACGAGATGCAACGAAAGCAATACGAAGAGTTGGTGAGTGAGAGCTGACAAAAAACTCCAAGAGGAGGTCTAGTTAGACCTGGTGAGTGAGAGCCTATGAGTGAGAGTTGAACTGAATATCCAGAGGGAGGGAGTGAAATAGAAACGTGAAGGATAGAAGAAATTACTATGCAATTTAATAGTTTTTCATTGAGTTGTTAAACAATTGTTTAAATTTATTTGTCAATATATTGGTATTCTATTAAAAGAGTGCTAAAATTTTGACATCACAAAAAGATAAAAACATTTATTTAATAACCCACTTTTGAATTTTTATATTATAATTTATCTATCTTACTTCATTCTTTTTTCATAAAAAAAAATAATATTTTAAGATTGATAATATGACGTTTGTGAAAATAGATTCTTGAAAAAAAAATTCCCTTTTTATATGCTACACAAAGTTAATAAATATAAAAATTACGCAACTTAAATCCCATAACTCAGGGTGTATTCCATTTATTTTTTTGTTAAATCATTAGTCTTTAAAAGAGTTTGTAAGAATATAATTACTTTTAAAAGGCTTTTACTATTAGGATTTTGTAATTTAAATTATAAATAATTTATCAAATATGAAATAATTATTATTAAAATAATTTTATAGATTTAAAAAATTTAGAGGATATTTAAAAATATTACAAATATGTGTATCCTTACTTTTTTTATTATAAATTACGGTAAATAATGATAATAATAACCTAAAAATTGATTATAGGAAACAATAACTTAAATCAATAGTAGAAAATAATTACTTGATAACTTTATTATTCTTACTCTTAAAATTGAGAAAAATATGAATAAAAATATAAAAGTTTCACATATTTTAATGAAATTATTTTATGAAAATGGTAGATACAATGATAGGTTACTGGAGAAGATATGGATTCAAGATTTAAAGATTTAACTAGGTCCAATCAAATTTAATAAAATAATATTTTTATAATATAATAAATTTTATTAGTAATAATATTTTTTATAAAAAAATAATAAAAATTATTGTCATGGTTACCATATTACAATAAAAATTATAAATATAAAATATATTAAAGAGTAAAAGATATATAATTGTTAAATTAAGATAAAAGTATAATAAAATAACTATCATTTAAAGTTGATGTAATTAATATGAAATAAAAAAACTAAAATATATTATATTTTATATAAAAAAATTAATCCTAAATATTCTTTTTTTTGTTAAAATCGGTCTGATCCAAAAATTTATCTGATTTTATCTTGATTTAATTAAAGTTCAATTATTTGAAAACAAGATTTAATTAAAGTCCAATGAAAATAAGTATGATTCTCAATTGACCGGTTTAATTTTCAAAACAGTAGGTAAATATTGACAAAACATTTATTCCTCACAATAGAAGAATTATAAGAGTTTAAACATCAAGTTAATTAATTTTTTTTCCTTATTATTTTTCTCTCGTTGAAAAGATAGGAAAAGTTTGTTCAAAGATTTCATTAATTAACACCCATATTAATTATGATTTAATGATTATTGGGTCTTAACAAATAGAGCATGATAGTAGTAAATATTAGTTTAAGCCTTGAATAATAAAATGGAAAAAGTGTAGTGCACAATTACTGTATCCCTATTTCTCTCATTTTTATTTTAATGGAAAGGAAATATAAATAAATATATTTATCATTTTACTCTTTTTCCATCTTCCTTTCTTCATTTTTCCATTGTTTTCATTTTCTTTCCCACCTAAGTCTTGTGCAGTGTCAATACTATACCTAAATGAGATTAAACTTACGTTTATTCATAAATAGATACTCATCAAACATTTTCAATTCAATTAGTTAACATCTAAGATTTTAACTAATTAATTGCTAATTTGACCAAACACATTTCAACAGCATCTAATTAGACAATTGAGGGACAAAATCCATACAAGCCAACAATTTTTTTGGCGGTGAGTTGATACAAGGCACACAACATATATCGTGCAACATGTTGATGCCAATGGTAGTCTATCCATAAGTATAGAAAACCATTTTTATTAGAAAAATTCTGGGAATAAATGTTAATGTCGTTTATGGTACATTGTACACAGAGGAGCTGTTCCATAACCTCAAGTGGACAGGGTGGAACCGTGGAAATTCATTTGCACGCTCAAATCCAAGCTCAGGTTAATCTTGTTCGAATTGCAATGGCTACTAACAGGACACCAACACCAACTTGAAGCTCACAAATTGGATGAGGAAGCAACCTGATATGATGTCTTTCTTGCCACGTGGCATGTAGCCTATTATTTATTTCCTGCACGCATTGAAATGTGTCATGGTAATGCCAAGTTTAGAAAACAGCAAAGAGAGTTCAACAAGTAGAACTGAACATTAGTCTTTTCGCAACTACCATTAATCAAATCGAACTAAAATGGTCTGAGGTTAGCATCACCATCACAGACACGTAGTACCACAAGGGATGATTGATTTTTAGCATTTCAAGTTATAATCAGTCTAGTAAATAAAATTTTATAAGGATATAATTAGTCTTGGAAACAAACCAACGAAGCTTAAAAGTATCTTTCCACCATCCTTGTTTTGAGCAATTTGCAACAATTTTGTTCAACCTTACAATGACCTGAGAAAATGTTGGCCTGACAACAGGGGTTGGATCCCAACATTCCTCAATCAACCTGCATACACTAGGATAGTTAGATAGTTTTTAAATTAAACTGAACGTTGAAGACGTAATTTTATGTTTAAAATAGACTAACTCTTTCAAATCCGGAGGACAGTGTTTTGTTTTGATCTTGAATGCCGGTCTTTTCCCCTCTAAGCACATCAGTTTCACTGCCTCCTCCGGGGGCTTGGGATAGAAGGGAGGTGAACCCTCTATCATCTGGGTCCATAAATGATATATAAAATTGAAAGAAGTGTTGAATTTCAACTAATAGACTATTAATATATGAAGAATACGTTGATCAACTAATATACACTACACCCTAAACTTCAAAAACATACAAAGAAATGTCAAGTTCTCAAATTCCTCGTCCTTCCCTCAGATCCCACCACAAGCCCGTACCCTTCTGAGCATCAACTCGTGATCTCAGCTCTAAAAAAAACTAAAGATTGAGTGTGCTTTCAGCCAGGCTAAAAAATACATCTTATAACTGGAGAGCATCAGACTAAGCATCACTGTTCAGTAAAACTAACACGTTCTGAAGGAAAAAAGCTGACACAAAGCAATAAAACAAGAATCTGACCAAGAGAAAACTAACTCGTAAACTAATTAATCTGATGTAGGAAACATCATAACAGATTGGCATTATTGGGGGGTTACAAAAATCTGGTACCTCATATATAATCAGACCAAAAGAATATGCATCCACACTTCTATCAAAGACTTCATCTTTGTAAAGCTCCGGTGCTACGTACAAGCCTGAATGAATACAACCAAATTATTACAGAATCACGAAAGATACGTATATTTTTCCGATTCTAATCTGCAAATATATCACTTAATTCTTTTCGAAATGCTTGTCCATTTTCTTAACATTTTTTTTACAAGTATGCATTTTCTCTTATAATTTGCATTTGTTGGGCAAAGGGACCATGATTTAGAGATGGAACAAGTGTCGCGAACAATCAGTGGAGAAATTGCTGTACAAGTGTTCAGTTATTTGTATGTGAATTTTATCATAATGGAAGTTTCACCTTTTGAAATCTCTACAGTTATTTAAAGAAAACTCTTACTCAAGTATCCAAATCTTGCTTTTGCCAAAATCCCATAATTAATTACTCATTTAAACAAATGTAAAAACAAAATATAAACAGTTATTCATACTGTAGCTGCAACTATCTTCGAGCACACTTCATTACAACAACAAAAAGTTGCTGGGCTGTTTAATATCCTAATTAACTATAAAGAATACAATACACTTTTAAAAGGAAACATGTATATCTATCTTGTAAGACTCAAATTCTATTGACAAGATTATTCACTTGTCCTGCACTAAATTTTACCAGTGCATCTGTGCACAAGACTTATGATGTAAATCAGAAGGAGCACAAGGCATCAGTTAAGATAGTCATTTCATGCCACACCAAATGTCAGCAATATCTAGAAGTAAAGAAAAAGTTGAGAAAAAGGGTTTAAGGGATTGTTTGGACAAACTCTTCCTCAAAACACTTTCCATAAGAATGAGTTTTCCATAAGTCAAAATAAGTATATGCACAATTTAAAAAATAAAATTTTAGAGAAGCCGTATGAGAATCTCTACAAATTAACTTATACATAAAATTAATTTTAACTTTTGAAGAAACTTATTTCATTTCTTTCTCTTAAAAATCTTTACGAAGAATTTTGTCCAAACAGACTCTAATTCTTAAAAGAGTTTGAACCTGTATAACACCATCAAATGGGGGTAAAGTATGTGCATGGTAAAAATCTCCATATCCCAAAATGATGAACCGTCGTACAAAATTTCCTTCTCTATCCCCTTAATTCTAACAAGTTTTTGACAGAGAATTCTAAATGCATAATTTAAAGAAAATATAATGAACTTAAGATGTAATAGGAACTAATTTAAAGAGGTTCCAGGACTGTATTTTATCATTTTTCATGGCCTAAAACCCCAGATAAGAGCAGGCTAATTTCTATTGCAGTCACAAATCTGATATGTTCAGCCAATTGTAATTAAACTGGATCTTACTGCTAGAAAATGGAACACTGGAATATAGAAACTTTCAAATCACTGAGGAAGGAGAGGAAATGCGAGAACCTTTTTTGAAAAATACTCAGAAACTTACTTGAAAGATCAACGTTAGAGTCAGGCTGTATCAGGCTTGCTTCATCAGGTGAGATTAAAGAAAATCTCACAGTGCCAAATCCAGATATCTTCCATTGCCCTCCATTATCCAGCAAAATATTTCTGGCACCTTACCAAAATTTCATATATTAAAGGAACAGTAATCCCATGAGAAAAAATCTAATTTAAAATGCACTAATTCATAAATAAACATCAGATTGTATTAAGTGGTCTTACTTTGGCTTTAAATCACAGTGAATAACCGGTTCGGGTTTGCATTCATGAAGATAGTTCATGCCCCTGCTAACAACAAATTATCAAGATATCTTCTATAAACAACCTAGTAGAATTTCCAAAAATTTGTAATCATTTAGTACATTGTAACTTAGCAAGCTAAGAAAATGACCTGAGGACCCTTTTAGAAATCAATGACCATAAAAGAGATAATAAAGTAAGAAAAGGGCATGAGAGTTTTTTCAAAAGATGCAGTTCCTTGAAATGGTTACTTGCCTAGCAACATCAAGAGCAAAATGTAGAACTTTTGATGGGGACAAACGCCCTTTCTTTTGAAGATAGCTTGCCAGGTCACCCTGAAAAATCAACATTGATATGAACAATCAATCATTCGAGAAATCTACTCTGCGAGGATAGAGAGAAACGAAGAGGATAAACTTGCCTTAGCATGGTACTCGCGCACAATCATCATAGGTATATTTTGGGTTACAGCTCCAACAAACTGGACCACATTAGGATGTCGCACCCTTTCTAATAATGTGAGCTCATGTTTGAAAGCATTTCTGAGAGTTATTGAAATGGTAAAACTTTAGAGCCAAGGTTAAGTAATAAAGTATAGAAACAAACAGCAATTTGGGCCATCTACAAGTGAAAAGTAGTGACATATGCAGTCAGACAGGAACTTAGCCAAACAATATCAAACAACCTGATTGGTTGGCAAGAAGCATATCATACAAACACTCGCTCAAACATGTTCAATTGCTAAGTTATATACATACATGGTATCAGGATCTGTATAACTGTCCTTGTCAAGTATTTTCACTGCAACCTTTGTGCCATTCCATTTAGCTACTTGATATGATCCCTGCAAATAGATGGATCAAACAGAAGTGAGAAACTATACAAACAAATTTAACAAACATCATTATTTGGCTTTATAAATGTCAGATGTTTACATATTCGTGAACTCAAATAACACAAGTATGAGCTACTTTTATTACACACAAAGCATCAGCACATTAGGTAGCAACAGCTAAAAATAAAAGATTAGGGGAAAAACAATAAAATATAAGATGGTTGCCAACGGCAGCTCAGTGCACAGGTAAAAATACACGGTAAAACAATTATTTAATGCGCGCAGTGATAAACACCACATGCCACATTACTGGTCATGCAAACTACATTACAAAAGCAAAATGTTACAGCATATGCACATTATCTTAGTTGATCAATTTGAGAGTAAAAGTCTCCCTCATTGACAGAGTCATTCATTGTCTTAATTGCAATTGTCAACTTGCATTTTCATGAACAAATATCATGTCCGGTCCGGGATCCAAGTTGTATACTATGTCAGAAAAGCCATAACTATTAAATAATCAAATTAAATATAGACAAGTTAACAAAATCAAATCACCGTTCCCAACGAATGTAAGAAAGAAAGAAAGAGAAGCATACCTTTGAAATACCATCACTCCTCCGAACCTGTAGCTCTAACGGGTTGAGTTCATATTCCGGAACTTCACGAGGATTTGCAACAGTCATTGGAGTCTTCCTGGTTTTCTAAACACGTCAAAGATAATTGACCAGTAAGTCGCTAAATTTTAACCGACATATTTACCAGCAATTATTTATCCATAACAAACAAAGAACGGTAGCACAATACCGGCACTTTCGCTCCACGAGCCTTCAACATGTAATAAATCTCTGTATTTCCATAATATTTGGCATCAGCCGCCGCCTGCACATCCACTCATCCATCACCACTTAACACACAAAATCTAATCAATTTTAGCCTTAAAGAAGTAATTTAATATAAATGTCTTAGAGACCAAATATTTTTTACACATTATCGTGCAATTACAAAAGATTTATATGTTACATAAAATGAATTTTAAAATAACTACCTTAAATATCATTAAAAAAACTATTTGGATTCATTGACCTAATAGATTAATTTTCATGCCCTGTTTCCATTATCAAATCTGCAACCAAATCGAAACTGAGCATTTCGTGGTTTAGAAATGCCGAATCCTGCAAGGCATTTATTCCGTGTCACTATTAAGGGAAAGGGGGAACACATTAGACAGACGATTTTCTAGGTAAGTGTCATGTTCGAGTTTAATGACTTTCACATAAACTATCTTTCAAGTCAAAATTTAGCCATTCCTATATCAAAACTTTTACAATATGAAAAGCCTCTTTAAATTTTTCGTGATTATTTTAAAAAATAATTCTTCATATTCTATGAAATAACGACAAAAGTATTACCTGGTTCCATATTATCAAAGCCGTTGTGATCTCAGTAAATATTTTTGAGATACATAAATAATTTAACTATGTTTTATCATTTTTGTGATACATTTTTATAATCTAAAACTGTTAATTGTGAGAAGTTTTTGAATTGTAAAATCCCCTAAATAATGTACTTCATTATTAGGCATATTGTTTGTGAATTGAGTAACTTATTTACGTATAAATAAATAAATAAATGACACTCGCACACAGTCCTAACCTCCATTTAGCACTCTTATTATAAAATCACATATATATGGATGTTGATGAGAAGTTATTGAAGTGTGTGATAGAATGAGTGCGTCCGCATTACCATTCAAAAAATATTAGTTAAGACTACATGCAACATGATTATATAATATTAGATAATATTTCACTTATATAAAGACCAGACGACACATGCACTATGTTTAAAGTATAAAACACAGGGGCATCAAACAGAGAAAAAAATATGACTAATGTCTAAAATATAAAATACAAAAACACCCATGACACATGATATATTCAACTTTTTAAACCGACCATCTACGTTATTTTTTTTTAAAACAAACATCACAAAAAGTGAGACATTTTTTAATACTTCATATTATATTTTAAGCTGATTATTCTAAAAGCGAAAAATATTTGACAAAAACTTTTTAAATATTACATATCTTATTTTAAGCTCATTTTTCTAAAAACTAAAAAGTATATACTTTTAATAACATTTCCGTGTTTACTTTTGCCAATTCAAGTGACCGAATTATACAAGAAAGTATATATTTTTAATTACTAATTAGACACCCAACGAGAATTATGGAACAAGTATGGGTGGGAATGGTGTCTCACGTGTCACAAGTTGACTGTTTAAACTATTACTTCATTTAAATTAAATTCACAATAATAATAAATAATAATAATAATTATTATTATTATATATAATATAGCATAAGATAATTATAAATTAATATGAGAGTAGAGGAGAGAGTGAAATTACGGTACTGCCCCAGCGATCGCGAGCGTCGATGTTGGCCTTACGGGTGAGGAGGAGCCGGACGACTTCGATGTGGCCTTCGCAGGCGGCGATGTGGAGGGCAGTGCGGCCGTCGAGGTCGATGCTGTTGACGTCGACCCCTTCGTTAAGCAAATCCTCCACTCCCTTGTCGTCGCCGCGGCAAGCCATGAAGAGCAGCTGCATGGTGGAGTCCAGGTTCTCGGGCACGGTGAGCTCCGCTTCCTCGTGTTCAGGGCTCCGGCGAATCGGATCCAGAGACGACTGCCGCCCGAAGTTGAACCGCTGGTTGTTCCGCCGCGGATCCAGCGACGCCTGCCGCGTGAACTGCCGGCTCAGGCTCCTCCGCAGCGACCCCGACGAGAACTGCCGCGAGATGCCGCGCTTCAGCTGCGCGGCAATGTTTTCCATGGCGGCCGCCGGAGGATTCCGCGCCACAAAAAATTCTGACAAACAATCAATCAATGATCAAACCAATTGTGCTAGCGAGCGCACTCTACATGTTGTAACGAATCCTACCTGCAGTTTCAGTTGTGCTATTCGAGAGTATACGAAAAGAATCGAAGAAAACGCGAGCGAGCGAGGGAAAATACTAAGCCGAAAATGATGATAGGATTTTTTATTTTATTTTTATCTTTAAATGAATCCTTCGTTCACTCGCACATTTCCGTTTGCGAGAATTAGGCCGTGTTTGTCTCTGTCTCTCTTTTCTTTTCCCTTTTTCGTGGCTTCTAATTAGATCATGGGTCTACTACGTCCCTCGGTTGGGGTAGGTTTTGTTGACTTTAAGAGGATCTGAATCATTGGTTTCACAATTTTTCTTTTTTCTTTTTTCATTTCTTAAATAATTAATTAATTAATTTCATATTTATCATCTTGATCATTTTTTTTTTAATTTCACATCTTACATTATTTTCTTATTCATCAACTGTGATAGTACTTTGTATTTATTTAATTAAACATGTAACAATTCTATGATAATTTCTCTTAAATTATTTGATGCTAGCAATAGCAACTTGCTACAAATATTTACTATATGCTCTCATTCACTGTCCCCTTAGTGTCTTTTTTTAAAGACGAATTCAATCCAAAACTTTGAAGTCAAGCAACCGTAAGGGTCCGGCGATTAATCAAAGATAAGGGAAGAATTTAATGATAATATTATATTAGTCTTTGATTAAATTCAGAAATTTATTTTAATTCACGAATTATGGAAATAAAATTATAATAATAATTAGATAAACATCACTTATTATTCCTCATCTAATAAAAAATCCACTAGCTTTCATTTATTGTACCGCAAAAAACGATACGGTTTTCTTATACAAAACTACGTTCGTTTAAAACATTGACTACGATGTTTAATTTAATTTAAGCGATCCAAGTCTTATATTTTTATATTTTAAGAAACGTTTTAAGTTTAGATTTTGTGTACTAAAGAAAACCTTTTATAATATAAGAAAGTTAACTTCAAAGTTTGAATGTCTCTGACTCATTGATTCACGCACTTTGACTAAGTCTACCTATTTAGTTTGACTAATTCTTTAAATAATTTTATCAGTATATATATAGACAATGTTTTGAATAATACATGTATCAATAGCATATATAAATATATATTTACATTAATATTCAATTCATTATCGCTATATACCATGAATTTTTAACTTTAAATATAATCATTTTAAATTTATGTTGTAGATCAATTCCTATGGATTAAATTACTTTATTATACACTGTCAAATACTTTTTTATTTTTAAAAATTAGTTAAAAAACATATATTTAAAGTAAAATATAATCACTTGATGAAGCACTATAACATAAAGTAAAATACCTATATATTTATATTACAACTGGCAAGTGTTTTCAAATTGAAGCAAGGTTTATAAGTAAGAATTAAATAGAATAAACAATGTTTTATTAATTTTATTAAATGAAAATAAATAAAAAATCATTTCCGGTCAAAAATAAAATAAAAAATAAAGTCGCCTTCATTTTCTTTATTTACACAGTGCCTTAAAATTCAAAATTTTTAAATCAAATTTAGGTAAAGATTATTAAATATATTATCCCAAAATAAAATTTTTAATAAGAATTGTTTAGAATAAAATTAAATATTTTATTATGAGCTTTTATAAATAAATTGTTTAAAATTTGATTAAAGTTATTTATATAAATATTTTCTTCAAATTTTTAGCAATTTATGTTATATTTAAACATCTCTAATTAGCAAATTTTATACACACATAAATAAAGAAGATTTTTTTTCCTTTTTTCTTGGGAGTTTTTATGAGCAAGTCTCTGTGCATAAGAATATAGCAATTTAACAAGTACAAGCACGTGGAAATAATTAATTAGCTCCCCAAATATGAAGCCAATGAAATCCAAATTATTATTAATTCCATGGGGTCACCCACATCACCATAATTAACCATCTCAAATTAAGTACAAATTATGTTCTTTTGCCCAATAATATAATTGTGCATTCAATAAAAATAATAATTAATCATGTCGGCTATATCCATTATTGTTTTATATTTTTAGATAGATTATCACACATGGTTGTTTAGGGTTACCCACCACAATCAATGACTCTTTCTCCTAAATTCAACAGGTTCTCATAATTTTAAATTAATAACAAATATTGTTTTAAATTGAGTGTTAAAAGGGTATTATTATCGATTATTTAAAAATTAAATACATAAATTATTTATGTTGTAAAAACTTTTAAAATAATCTTCTTTTGTTAGTAGTAACCGATCTTCTTGGCATCTGAGGGGAGCGTGATTTTTTTAGTAACTCTTATATAATTTATGATTTTAACCCTCAAACTTAATGAACATTTAATATATTTACTTGGGAACCGACATGGAAAGTCTTTTTTTTCACCCAAAAAATTCACTTAAATTTGAAAAGCTGTCACTGGTAGGATTTGAACTCGGGATTCTAGAATTGAAAACTAATACTCTAACCACTAAACTATTATAATTTCTAATAATAACTTACAAATAAATTATATTTATATACAAATAAATATATATCCATGAAAATATATATTTATTTGTATATATTTTCCGAAAAGTATTTTTATTTTTTTTAGCCAAAAATTCACTTAAGTTAATGAATTGTCACTAACAAGCATTTGAACCCAATATTTTAGAGTTGAAAGTTAATATCCCAACCACTAAACTACTATAATTTTTTGATAATAACTTACAAATAAATTATATTGGTATTTTTCGATCGAGGGTGAAAGTGGGATTGACTCTCGCTTGAGTGAAAATATGTTAAAGCTCACGGAAATTCACTCGATCAAGCCTCGCTTGAGCGAAAATTGGTATTTTTCGCTTGAGAGCGAATGACGCGTTTCCCAAATTTATTTTATATCATTATATAAATAAAATTATAAAGATTATATTCTGTCATTAAATTACAAAACTCATATAAAGATATCTGCTCACAAATTTAGCATCAAATTTTGAAAACTCACTCGACACACACTTTCACTTTCGAGTGTGCCCTCACATCCAACATATAAATATATAAATATATAACTATATAAATATATCAAAATATATAAATATATTTGTATTTATATATTTATATATTTACACTCGATATATATTTATTTGTATATAAATATAATTTATTTGTAAGTTATTATCGAGAAAATTCTAGTAGTTTAGTGGTTGGAGTATCGACCTCTAAATCTAAAGTATTGAGTTCGAATTTTGCCAATGACAATTCTTTTTAAAAATTAATAAAGGGGTTGTAATTAAATAAAAATTATTAATTTGAAAAATTGTACTTTCAACGTCGGTTTATTAGAACCGAAAATTAATAAATGGGTTGTAATTAAATAAAAATTATTAATTTGAAAATTTATACTTTCAACGTCGGTTTATTAGAACCGACGTTGAAAGTCCGATACAACGTCGGTTGTTGAAAGCCTTCCAGAACCGACGTTGAAAGTTTTATTTGTAGTAGTGTTTAACTCTCGTATAATTTATTATTTTGTTCTCCTCAAACTTAATAATTATTTAATATATTTAAGTATATATTTATAATTTTATCCTTTCAATCTTACATCTTCTTACTTCATTTTATATTTATTTATTATTTATTAATAATATATTATTTGACATCAATGGTCAAGTCACTACGTCAGTGCTTGTTGGCAAATATTATTTTATTAGATAACATAAAAAAATTTAACCATATCACACCAGTCATTGTTGATAATATAGTGATCTCTTTATTTGTCTTTTTTTTTTGTTTAAGTATTTATCATCTCAATCTCAAAATGAGGTCTCCAACGTTCATTCCTCACCTAAAATATTAATCACTCTTCACCTAAAATAGAAAGATTGGTCAGTGTAGGCCACCTTAAATCATTCAAGATTGAAGGTCTTCTTTCTTTTTTGCAAGAGACAAAGAAAATGATGAACACCTATGCAAATGTCATTTTGCGTTGGTATCACTAAAGTTGTGATAGTTGGATTCACCCAATTGAAATGGAACACACCAAAGGGATTCAACACTCAGTGTAAACTTTTCTCTTTAGAATGTTTCATTTCAGAACAAAATGTTTTGTCTTGTTTTCCCTTGTTTTTAACAAAGAAATAAATGATAATAAGATTTTTTTTATTTTTTTTTTGTGTGGAACACGGTTCACTACAAGTCAATCATGATTGACCTATTCAACTCATGAGAATAATATTATCTCCTTAAAATTTTAAAAATATTTTATATTTCAGTTTAATAACTTTGCAAAATTATACGAAATAAAGCTTAATAACCTTCTCTTAAACTCGTTCTATTTCTCACGTATTTTTTCTTACTTTCAAACATATCCCAACTATTTATATGTATATCCGAACCATAACAAGTTTGATATAAAAGCTTAAATTAAAAATATATATAATTTAAAGAATTTAAGTTATGGCTTTTAACATATACTTCAATTTGTAATTTTTTTACTTGTACATATTTTTTTATTTTGTGAACTTCAATCACCCTATTTTATAAGGAATTTTATCCCTCTACTACGTGTAGTTTTCGTCCAACTATCTAGTATTTGATAAAAATATTTTCTCAACACTTATTGACTTGTCACGTCAAAATATGCTGGTTAACAACTGATATTGACCTTATACTATGTTTTCACGTCAGATTTTAATTAAATATTAAATAAGCTGATAGATAAATCGAAATTGTTCATTTAAACTAACGACAATCAAAATTTGAACAAAATAAAATAACAAAAATTGTTAAATTGAAAAAAAGTACGATGATAAAAAAAATACAATTAAACATCAAATAAACTATGTACCATGTGAAAAAAAAATTACATAACTATATATATATATATATATATATATATATATATATATATATATATATATATATATTGGATAGATACATACAGATAATAAATAATATTTAGAATAAATTAATTAGATTATTGTTAAGTGTATTTAATTAGCATTTGTTATTATGCTACATGAATTAATTAAATATAGCTTGCTTCTATAATGTTTTTTAGTTTTTAATATACTATGAACAATTATTTTATAAAATGTTTCGAAATATAATATTATACTTTTTTAACAAAATAATATTTAAAATTGATATATAATTTTATTTTATATCACATGGTAATTTATGGATTTTTATATATTATATGTTACGAAATATTCTTAATCAAATTTTTAATACATTATTAGCACCACTAGTTTTGATATTGTTTTTTATTATAAGATTTGTACACGTTTAACAAAATTCATTTGATTAAGTTAACAGGTTGAAAATTTAAGTGTGAGTTTGAAGACCTATATTGGGTAGAAATGAGAAAGTTGAATAACTTATTACAAGTGAGAAAAACCCATTTGTGAGAATCTTATATGGATGAAAGTGGTGTCATATTCTCTTATATGGTTGACTTATGACTCATTTGTGAGAATATTCATGCTTTTAGCCTCCTTGAAAAGTCTCAACAATGATATCAAAGTCGATGATTTATTTGATGATCGACTCAGTTGACTATGATTATAGTAGGTGAAAGATTTTTGTATCGAAAGTCTTCTTGACAAGCCTTTCAAACAAGCGAGTCTTGTTAAGTTAAATGGTAGTACAAATAAGGTCATCACTAAGTACTCATGGTTAAGAAATGTTTTCGCTCAAGAGGAGGTATACCATTGTGAAAGAGAATTATACTTGAGGGGGAGTTGAGTTTGATTATAGTATGTGAAAAATCTTTGTGTTGAAAGTCTTCCTGATAAGGGTTTCAAGCAAGCGAGTAATTATAGTAGGTGAAAGTTCCTTGTGTCGAAAATCTTCCTAACAAAGGTTTCAGCCAAGCGAGTCTCGTTAAGTTGAATGACGATACAAGTAAGGTTATCACTAGGTACTCATGGTTAAGAAATGTTTCCCCTTGATGGGGAGGTTGTGAAAGAGAATTGCACTTGAGAGGAAAATGTTGAGAATTCAAGTGTGAGTTTGAAGTCCCACATTGGATAGAAATAGGAAAGTTGAGTAACTTATAAGTGAGAAAGACCCATAACCTAATGTCTTAATGTTTTGGGTTAAAAGTAGTGTCATATTTTCTTATATAATTGGCTCATGACCCATTTGTGAGAATCTCCCTGTTGTTAATCCCCTCGGCAGTGGCGGGTCTTCTTGGAAACTGAGGGGGGTCGTGGCCACCCAAAGTTTTGTAACTCCTATGTAATTTATAATTTTGGTCCCCCCAAACTTAATGAATATTTAATATATTTACTTCCCTCCTCAGTTTTGTAACTCTCATATAATTTATGATTTTTATCTCCCTCAAACTTAATGATCATTTAATATATTTAAGTATATATTTATAATTTTATCCTTTCACCCTTTCATCTTATTTCTTCCCTTTATATTTATTTATTAATAATATATTATTTGACCCCTCCAAGATCAATGGTCAATATTCGCCACTGCCCCTCGGAAATACCTACTATAATATAGTATAAGTGTCATGGTTTGAGTTGAAAGGGATTAATTTGTGTTTGGTTGAAATGTGTGGATTTGGTCTAAAAGAAAAAAAAAATATCTCCTCGTCATCTGAATGAAGAGGTGGAGAAAGTCATCTAACACTACATAAATAACAAAGTTATCTATAATCAATTTACATGAGGTATATATTATGTGGAAAAATTTATTATTTGAATATTAATGGGCAGTGTTCTATTTAGGAATGAGAGTATTTTCGTCTCTTGTCTATTATAATGTCGTTGTTAAAGTCAATTCTCACATTTGAGGTATTGTCCATTTATGAGCTATCATTTAGATATTGTTTTTTATTATAAGATTTGTACACGTCTAACAAAATTCATTTGATTAAGTTAATGGACTGAGAATTTAAATATGAGTTTGAATTCCCACATTGAGTAAAAATGGAAAAGTTGAATAACTTATAAATGAGAAAGACTCATAACCTAATGCATTAAGGTTTTGGGTTGAAGATGGTGTCATATTCTCTTATGTGATTGATTCATAACTCATTTGTTAGAATCTTCCTATTGTTAGTACTAGAGATGACAATTAAATTCATATTCGTGAGGATCGATCTATCCTCACCCCGAGTTGACTGGGGACGGGGACAAGTTCAAGTTTTTCTCATCCTGCTCCGACTTTATATTTAAATTTAAAAATATTAATATTTTAAAAGTAATTTCTTTTATTTTTATATTATTTTTTTATATTTCACCATGTTTATTTTTCTTCTACTCACTTTTTAATTATTTTCTCTTTTTTAATCTTTTATATCAATTAGTTTATTACATTATTTTTTTCCTCTTACTTTTTAGTTTTTCACATTTTTTAATCTCTTCAATCAATTTGTTTTTTTTATCTTTTCAACCAATCTGATAAATACAAAGTTAATTTTTTTCTTTATCTTTTTCTAAATATTTTACATAAATCTTAATAGTAACTAATATTATTTTATTTATAATTTATATTTATTAGGTTTTATTATGTCATATTTTTTGAATCTTATTATTCTTATTTATCATATATCAATTTTTATCTTAATAAAATAATTGTATTTTAAAGGATTAAAAAGAATTAATAATTTAAATTTTTATTACTTCGAAATAATTAAATAAGAATTAACTTATTAAATATTTTCTTACAATATATATATTTCATATTTTTAAATGACAACTTAAAAATAAATTAACTTATATATGTAATCAAATGTTTGATACAATATAATAATAATAATAATAATAATAATAATAATAATGTTATAGTATTTTAACATTTGAATACAGTATTATAATAATAATATTATTATTATTATTATAAATATTCTATATATGTATAAATAAAAAATAATTAAATATTTCTTTTACATACATATTTTAATATAAATATAAAAAATTACAATATATATTTAATTAATAATAATTACAAATTATAAATATTTATTTAGGTATAAAAATACATAAAAAATAGTAAAATTAATTTATTATAAATATAATTATTTTTTTTAAATAATATAGATCGAGGACGAGACGGGGCGGAAAACTCGGAACCCAATAGGGACGGGGATGAAAACTTATTTTCTAACCCCAACGTGAAACGAGGATAGTTAAAAAAGTTTGGGGTGGGGGGTGGGGGCGGATCGGGAGGCAAAACCCGCCCCCGCTACGTCCCGTTGCCATGCCTAGTTAGCCCCCTCGGAAAGACCCAAGAGTAGTATCAGACTTGATGATTTATCCGGTGACCGACTCAGTTGAGTATGATTATAGTAGGTGAAAGGTCTTTGAGTCGAAAGTCTTCTTGACAAACCTGATAAGTTGAATGACAATACAAGTAAGGTCATCACTAGGTACTCATGGCTAAGAAATACTTCCACTCGAGGGGGAAATATACCATGTGAAAGGGAATCACATTTGAAGGGGAGTTGAGTATGATTATAGTAGGTGAAAGGTCTTTGTGTCGAAAGTCTTCCTAATAAGGGTTCAGATAAGCGATTCCCATTAAGTTGAATGACAATACAAGTAAGATCATCATTAGATACTCATAACTAAGAAATGTTTCCGCTCGAGAGAGAGATATACAAATGTGAAAGGGAACCACACTTGAAAGGGAGTTGAGTATGATTATAGTAGGTAAAAGGTCCTTGTGTCAAAAGTCTTCTTGACAAGGGTTTCGGGCAAACGAGTCTCGTTAAGTTGAATGACGGTACAAATAAGGTCATCACTAGGTACTCATGATTAAGAAATGTTTCCGCTCGAGGGGGAGGTAGTAAAAGGGAATCACTCTTGAGGGGAGATGTTGAGAATTCGAGTGTGATTTTGAAGTCTCACATTGGGTAAAAATGAAAAAGTTGAGTAACTTATAAGTAAGAAAGATCCATAAACTAATGCTTTAAGGTTTTTTTGTTGAAGGTGATGTCATATTCTCTTATATGGTTGATTCATGACCCATTTGTGAAAATCTTCCTGCTGTTAATCCCCTCGAAAATATCTAACATAATGTATTATAAATATAATGGTTTAATTTGTGTGTTAGTTGAAACGTGTGGATTTGGTCAAAAAAAAAAAAAGACTATCTCCTCATTATCTGAATGAAAAAATGGAGAAAGTCATCTAACGCTACATAAATAACAAAATTATCTATAATCAATTTACATGAGGTATATATTATGTTTGAATTTTAAATTACCATAATTAATTACGTTATTATTTATAATTTATATTGGAAAAATTTATCATTTGAATATTAATTAACATTGTTACGTCTAGAAATGAGAGTATTTTGGTCTCATGTCTATTATATTATCATTGTTAGAGTCAATTCTTATATTTGAAGTATTGTCTATTTTGGAGTTATAATTCATTATGATTTTATCCTTAAAAGGTGCATCAATGGATTAAGAGAGAAAATATATATATATATATATATATATATATATATATATATATATATATATATATATATATATAAATTACTATTGACTTCGAAGTGATGTTAGATCTATAAGTGTACCGAAACCTAAATTTCCTAGTTAAGAATTAAGGAATATATATAAAATGATACTCTATTCTTGATTTTATGATGGACATAATATTTCATCTAGGAATGAGTATCTTCTAATCTTATGTTCGTTATAATAACATCATTAGAATAAATTCTTTTAACAAAAATGATTGTAATTTTATCCTTAGACATCAATTTTGATTCATTAAAATTAATTTTCACAAACCTAAATCTAAAATCATGGTTTATAGTCAGGTGGTAGCATTAGTGACCTTTTAAGAAGAAGAGTAGTATTTCATACCAAATGGATTTTTTTATGTAAGAAGAACTTTTGTCTATGTATGTCATACGATATATACTTGTCTAAAATATAATCTCTTTTATTCTAAATGAAAGGGATTGTATGAGAAACATTTCGCATGCTTCTATTATTGATCTATTATTGATTGTATCGCGTATGTCATTTTACTTTACTAAATGTCGTAAATATTTTGAATGCTTTTATTACATATTATAATTAGTATGTATTATACTGTTTACAATATATTTTAGTTAAAGAAATTTTACATTAAATCTGGGAAGGGCATTTTTTACTTTTACCTTTTCCTATTTTCTTTAAAGCTATTTGAAAGTATTTGAAGAAAAGTAAAATCAGGTATTTAAAAGACTTTTTACTGAATTTAACTGGATTCATAACAATAACTCACAATTATTTTCAATTTATTTTAATAGATGGATGCACTTATTTTACAAACATAATATTTGACACGTTTTAAACCTGGTTTTGTATTTATATTATTATATATTATATATAAGGATTATTTTTTAACTGTTTTTTTGTATATATATATATATATATATATATATATATATATATATATATATATATATAACTTATAATTAGTGACAAGATGAAGAAAAAAATTATATATTTTTTTTAAATGTGAGAAAAAGATAACACAAAGGGAGAGAGAAAATATAATATATATTTAAAAAATGATTTTTTTAAATTATTAATATAAATATAATAGACGTAGAAAAACTTTAACACTTATATTTCTTATTAAATATGATAAGTTTAATGGTAAATTGTGTAATATCATTTTAATGACAAATGATAATGCATATCAAATTTCGTTAAATTAAATAATATAGAAATACTTTAGTTATATTTAATATTTTTAATTATTTTTAATTTTATATATTAAAATAATATTATTTTGAAAAAATAAATTTTTAAATTATAAAAAAAATTTAATTTGTTTGGCTTGACGCAAATTCTCAACAAAAATAATTTTTTATAGAAAAGAGAATAGTGTTAACACTTAACAAACAAACAAAAGTTCAACGTACTCGTAAATCGTTCCCAGTTAAATTGAGAATTTAATAGCTGTGTAATATTAATATAATTATTTTATATTATCAAATAGTAACATATTAGAGCTTAAAAAAATATACCTCTAACATAAGAATTATTATCGGTAAGTTTGCAGAATATGATAATTTTGTCTTTAAGAAAGAATTGAATTAAAAAAATATATAAATTATCTATTATCTCGAGATTAAATGATGTAAGTTTTATGGGAATAATATATATTAATTTTTTTATTTTTATTTTCATTATTTTCAAATATATATATATATATATATATATATATATATATATATATATATAATATGAATAAAGTAACCAATGGTTACTAAATATATTACGAATTGAAAACATATATTAATTATTTTTTTAATATTTATAAAAAAGCGAAAGAAAAATCGACCACAACAGAGTCGAAGTAGTAGAAGAAGCACACGAGTTAGCCCAGTGAGTGACACACATTCCCTGCTTTCGCCACCACAACCATTGCTCTCAATTTGCTTCCCTTCTCCGAATGGCTGCCACTCTAACTCCAATCCAATCCCTCAAATTCCCTTCCCTCCAATCCAAACCTCTCATCTCTCCCAAACCACCTTCCTTCTCCACACCTCACACCTTTCGCGCCAACAAGCTCACCGTCTCCGGCGCTACCTCCGCCGCAACTGACGTATCCACCAACACCCCTCCCTCTCCGCCCTCCCCCGCTCGCTCAAAGCACGTCTCCTACTCCGTTCCCTTTCTCTCACTTCCTTACTCCTGTTAGTTACTGTCCCGATTCGTTGCTAATTGATGTTTACTGTTGACAATGCAGGGTTCGGCGACACACGATTTCGGTGTTCGTCGGCGATGAGAGCGGAATGATAAACCGGATTGCCGGCGTGTTTGCGCGGAGAGGATACAACATCGAATCGCTCGCAGTTGGCCTCAATGAGGATAGGGCGCTCTTCACCATTGTCGTGTCAGGGACCGATAAGGTGCTGCGCCAAGTCATGGAGCAGCTTCAGAAGCTCGTCAATGTTTTGAAGGTTCACTGTCTATTCGTAACATAACACGTGATTTCTGTAATTAGAGTTTTTATTGTGATGTTGTTTTTGGAAAAAGTGTTTGATAAAGAAGGTTTTGAGAGGATGAATGCGAATGTGCACATTGTTGCTATTGTTGTGGTTTGCTGGCCAGGTAGAGGATCTATCGAGGGAGCCGCAGGTAGAACGTGAACTGATGCTCATAAAGGTGCATGCGGATCCGAAGCACCATGCGGAGGTACCTGCTTAGTGTTTTATGGTTGTTGTATATGCTTCTATCTGTTATGTGTGTGTGTTTTATTTATTGTTTACTTCTATTTGTTTATTTATTCTTTTGATGGGATATTTTCAGTTGAAGTGGTTGGTGGACATTTTCAGAGCTAAGATTGTGGATATCTCGGAACATTCGGTGACAATTGAGGTTATTACTAGACACCTTTTAATACGTTTTAATTTTTAATTCCCATGTTTTAGTGCATGCGCTATATTCATACTCATTTTAAAACTAATAGTAATTGGAGGCAAGGGTACGCCGATCATGCATTTCTTATTGTTGCTGCCCTGAGTTAATCGAGAATATTTGTTGTTCGATATCCTAATGTCCTTAAAATAACACATTCAGTATATGTATTTGTTTAGAGAATTTTAAGAGTGCATCGTGTATGTGTTACAAGTTAAACCCTACTCACTTGTAGGCATAATGTTTTCAAATTCCAGTTCCTCAAAGCTTAACCGTTGCTATGACTCATATTTTTAAAATGTCAATGGATTCAACAGTGTTATTTGTGTCATTGTGAAGGGTCATGTCACAAAAATTGAAGGTGGTACAGAAGTCATTGGGTGACCTTCATCAAAGTTCTGGTATCTTGTTGCTAGGCCTTTGTTTTCACAGTTGGTATTGTTAATTGCCCATAGTGTCACAATCAATTGGATTGTAAAGGAGGGAAAAAGTATCATTGTTGTTTCATTTATATAATTTTATATTATGGGAGGTAAACTGTATTATAATAGTATGGTGCAGATATACAGTGCCTTGTAAACAGCTGGTGTTGGGAATATACTGTATGTATTCATATACTTTCATTGCATTAATAATGGTAAAATAAGGATACTATGGTTGGAGTGTTACTGTATGTGGTTTACTTGTTGGACTGCCTGCTTTTAGTATTCTTTTGTTTTTCATTTCTTGTCTTTCATTTTTACACAAACAGGATTTTGCACGTCTTTAAAAAAATATCATGAATAAATAGTGTGATGAGCTGGGTAGATATTTTTAACCTTATTTGCTCAAGCTTTTGTCCTACATTTTCTTTTCCATATGACTATTACTTAGTCACAACCATTACCATCATTACTTGCAATATATCATTAACTATTCTTGGAGATAAAATCAGGTCATAATTTTTTTTAAGTTGTTCTGCTAATGTTACAGGTCACTGGAGATCCAGGGAAGATGGCTGCGGTTCAAAGAAATTTTAGCAAGTTTGGAATTAAAGAAATAGCTAGAACTGGAAAGGTTGGAAAGTTCAATTGAGTACCTAAGAAGTTTCTTTAACTTTTGTATTTTGTCCACTTTGTTGAGCATTATATTGTAAGGCTGTGAATTTACTAATTCACTATTATTGGATTATGTAACTATTCTTAGATTGCATTAAGAAGGGAAAAGATGGGTGCATCAGCTCCATTTTGGCGGTATTCAGCTGCTTCTTATCCAGATCTTGAAGGAAAAACACCTGTTAATGCCCTTGTGGGAGCAAAAAATATGAATCCTGTTGCCAAAAATGATTCGCCTGTGGGGGTATGATCTTATTTACTCTTTAACCCTGACGTTTCCTTTTAAACATTTGTTTGAATACTTCAACTTGAGAATTGAAATATGCTAAATTGAAATTAAATAATTGACATAGCCTATCAAAGTGTTAAATTTAGAAATCACGAACAAGCTTAGTTTTCTGAAGTAAAAATACACTAGAGAAGTTTTTCAAAATGGATTCAAAGCTTATGCATATCTCAAACACTATTGACATTACAGCTAATGGTCTTTACAACTGAACACCTTTTGTCACTTGTGCTATGGAATATATTTTATCTTTCGTCAAAATGGTTTTGGTAAACACATAGACTGAAGTTTCATGGCAGTTTGCAGCCTCACCTTTTAGAATGTGGCTTGTTTCATGAGCTTTTTATTGAACAAAATTGTGTTTACATGCCCCCTTTGGTATTATGCACACTTCTATTCTAAATGGTTGTCATTTTTTACACGATCCACCTGGACAGGCTCTCTATATTCTCCATTTTTTTTTTCATATTTCCCTTACTCATTGTTTTTTTAAAAGGTTTTTAGGTCTATAAATATGAATATTGTTGATTGTAACTTCATCCATATACTTTTCTTTTCTGTCTTCTACCTTCCTTTAACTCCAGAATTCCAAGCAATTATTTGGTCGTCTCTTGCTAGATGTGGTAGAAACTGAATGATATATTGTAGGTCATGCTTGAGTATTATAATATGTTCTAACTGGATTCATATTGTCTTTGATTCTTTGTTCAACGTCAATTGTTCTAATTTTTAAGTTTGTAGAATTTCAATAATTGACTAAAGAAGAACAAATCAGTAACTATTGCAAAGAATAAATTAGAATAAATGCACTCCAATACTGCGCATGTTCAATATTTTCCCTTCCTTCTATACTTGGATTTGTATGCTAAATAGGAAAATGAGATTTAGTTTCTGACCTTTCATTTTGATATATTTACTTGTGTGAAGGGAGATGTTTATCCTATAGAACCTTCAGAGGGTTTTACAGTCAATCAAGTACTTGATGCTCACTGGGGTGTACTCGATGATGAAGATGTAAGATGGTTTGTCGTTGCTTATTGTCCTTAAATGTATCCCTTTTCTTATTTCCTTTAAGTGCACTTTGTAGATATTTCTACATTATCTACATTTACAGTTAGTGGTTTTTTTATGTTTGCCCTGTGGAGTTTGATTTAAATGTTGATGTAGTTTCTATGAATTTTAGGATACACATATGAATATATTTATTAGAGTAGAGAATAGTTACCTCTAGGAATAGTTTCCCAATTTCCTCATCATCTTTCAGGATTAGTTACCATAATTCTTTGTTTTATCAATTCATTTTAAATATAATATATCTCAGTTAATACCTAACTTTTTTTCATCTCTTTTCTCTTTATTCTTACCTTAATACCTAAAGTCCCGTAATTCCAACATTATATCTGAGAGGTATATATTAAGAGTTCTATTTAATTTCGTGATCTTTTCATCAAATTAATCATCAATTCTGCAATGTCAATCCAATCCTCCAGCATCTTCTAACATTTTTGCTCCCTCCTACTGTCTTGTTCTTTCTGGCAAACAAATTTTTTGCTCTCTAAAGTAGGTTTAGTTTCCTTATTTTCTTATTTTATAATGATATGTTCCTTAATTAGTTGTTGTTATGATCAATTGGGGGAGGGGGGGAGGGGACGTTTGGTTTAAGAAAAGCTTTCTGTTTTCACTTTATTTCTTATTGTTAAAGTTTGTTTTAGAAACAGTGAAAACAAATCAATAAAAAATTGTTTTCATTATTTCTTTTACAAACCAGAAAGTGAGACAAGGTGGCATTTTGTAATTAAAAGTGAAACACAATGTTTTATCAAACCAAAAACTTTCTTAGTTTTTCATTCTCTTTTATCTCTCCTCCTCCCTTCATACCTAAAACTCCATAATTCCAACAATATTCATTGAGCTATATAGTTTTATTTTACCATGAGAAAAGTCTTGTACAATGGGCTTCCCTAGTTTTATTACCATTCCCAATTCTTAACTTACATCTTATGTGCTTCTGACCAATTTAGCAAGAAATGCTGGTTGACATATTCTTCTTTTTTTCCCTTTTCTGGGTTATTCTTTTAATAAACAATCTTTTCACACGTTTTTAAGGTTTGTTTTTGGGTGGCGGGTGGGAAAAACTCAAGAGTTTTTAACTGAAGCATGGTATTTCACTTGCAAGTTTTTGCTCTGTGCAATTTCTACTTGGTTTGGAGAAGCTCCTACAATTTATGGTATCTTTGCCTTTCTTGTCTTTGAATTTCAGGTTCTATCTAATAGAATTTCTGATTCTATCTCTAGTTAATGCAGAACTTGGATTTTTCCCAATATCTCAAATTTAATTAAGTTGTGCTAGTGTGGTTTTGTATTTCATAATCAAGTATTAAATGTTTATGAAGTTTTATTTCTAAACATGAAGTCTGGGGACAAAATCTTATTTCAAAAGTTCTTCCTAATTTTGTCACCAATGAAATCTTAATTCTGACTAGAAATTTTCATGCTTGTAAAGAGCCAGATGTAGTTTATGTTTGTTGTAGATTAGCATTGAATTTTCATCAATTTTGTGCATGACAGTGCTTGGGACTGTCTTACTGTTGGGATATTGCCTTCAGGTTAGTGGACTTCGATCACACACTTTATCCATGCTTGTGAATGATTCTCCTGGAGTTCTAAACATTGTTACAGGAGTTTTTGCTAGAAGGGGCTATAACATTCAGGTTTACTTCTTCAGTTCTTTTTAACATTTGTGTACAAATTGCATGGTCGCAAATGAAATCTTTCTGTTTTCTCATTTTTGTTATTTTCAGAGTTTAGCTGTAGGACATTCAGAAGTTGAAGGACTTTCTCGACTTACAACTGTGGTTCCTGGGACAGATGAGACAATTGGCAAGCTGGTGCAGCAACTTTATAAGCTAGTAGAGCTCCATGAGGTTAAAAAACAAATGCATCATATCCTATAAACAAATTATTTGCTTTGATTGATTTTTTTTTTTTTTTTTTTTTATGATTACAGTTTGCAACTTTGAGTGCTTATTTAAGTTTATTATGGAGTTATTTGCATACTTTATCATTTTCTTGAGAGATGTTTAAAAAGAAAAATTCCCAAGCACCTAAGTGCCGGTTTTATTTTTTGCATTTTGTGGTGAAACTTTGAAAGTGGAGGAGGAATAGGCTAACGCTTGAAAAATCAGTAGTTAAATCAGAGTGTACAAAATTGCAGCTACAGTAAGGATATTGTTGTATTTGGTTGAGAAATTTATTTAAGCTCAGATATTTCTCTAAACTGCAGATTTCAACATTGAGTATGTATTCTTTGAAATCATTGATCATAGTGACTTTTCACCTTGTTTTTGCCCATGGACATAAGCATGTAGTTAACTATAGTTAAAACCACATTAAATTTCTTTTTCTTTTTTTTTTTGTGCACCTGGATACAACAGGACATTTGTGTTGAAAACTTTATTGGGACTTAAATACAGAGTTAAATTTGGTGGATCTTGTGTTTCCTAATATTATGTGAATAATAATGAGTATCCAAGTCTTGTTTTAGGCACCTTGCTAATTTCATAGTGCCTGACATTCCTATTTACTTTGGAATTCCAATTGAAAACTTTCTATCAAATCTCTTACTTGATGCGTGAATCCTTACTGTAGTATCTGTTTGTTACTTTCTTATATATTTTGAGAGCTAGATTGTTTGAGTGCATAAATATTAGAGCATTTTCAGTGTAAAGATTTTTTGGCCATTTTATTCTTTTCTTTATTTAAACTGATATTTCTTCAGGTTCGTGATATCACCCACTTGCCATTTGCTGAGCGAGAATTGATGCTAATAAAAATTGCTGTAAATGCTGCTGCAAGGCGTGACGTCCTTGATATTGCCAGCATATTCCGGGCTAAAGCTGTTGATGTATCAGATCACACAATAACTCTGGAGGTGAATTTTTGTGTAGACTTTTGAACTTATATTGATACTGACGAACATGGTGGATGCTGGATACCACTTCTGTAGAATGAATGTTGACTTTAGTGATTATTGTGTAATTACAAATCACACTAAAACCAATTTACCTTAGTTGAATGTTATTGCCAGTTTAATATCTGTTGGATCTAGCATCCAGATTTGTTCCCACAGCCAATAGAGTCTCCACCAATTAGCCAGGATACTAGAGATCCAACAGGTCCTCAGTTTGTCATATAGCTTATTCTAGGTCATGAAAATTGATGATATTAAGCATTAATCTAGCATCCTAATGGGTAAGAATACTGGTATCCTGCTGTCTGCTGCTTTCTACATCCGTTTTCTTTTTTTATTGAGATGATTAACTATCAGCAGTAGAATTTTTTTTCCATATTTGTACGTAAAAAAAGAATTGTACCCTCATCTTTTTAACTCTATTTTTTCTTCTTTCGAATTAATGTTAATGGCAAAAGTGGGGCACTATGATGTTTTTCCTCATAAAGGTGTAATAAGTAGAAGTTAACAACAGAATATTTGTGCAAACTAGTTCGCTTTGCTTCTAAGTTGATTATGATTTTCAAAAAGAGCTGGTTAGTTCATTTTGCTTAAAGCATTGCTGTTAATAGAAAATTTATTTATTTATTCAAAGTATTTTCTATATTTGAAATGGCTGCCATCTTTTTTTTTTCTTTTGTTATTTTTAATTTTTTAAAACTAATTGATATGGTCTTGAACCAGCTCACTGGAGATTTGGACAAGATGGTTGCATTGCAGAGATTGTTAGAACCATATGGTATTTGTGAGGTATGTGTTTTATAATTCTTTTCTCGTACATACTAAATATTTTACTGTGCTGGTTGACTTGTTAAAATACGGTGGTCCATGGATTTAAAGAGTCATACTTGGTGAATTTGCTTCGATAAATGTATCTCTTAATTTTGTTTTAGTTACACAGTAGCAGAACAGAATTGTGTTCCAACTCCACTCTTTTGTCATGGCTTGGCGAGTTCATCCATGCTCAGAAGATCTCTACTGATTAGTATTGGTAGACTCTGTCAGAGTTGTGAAAACGCTGAAATTTGAGTGAGTTTGTGAGTGGATCACATTTTGTGTTCCAGCCTTCAAAGTTGGATCAATATTTTCTCTTCTTTTTTCTTGTTTTTGGGCTTCTTTAAACCTAGGCCCATTTGACCCAAGGCATGTAACACCTTCGATGCCCTCACTGTGCCTTCTTCAACATCTTACACTATCTCTGCATCCGCTCTAACCCTGACCCTAAAACTGTTTGATGAGTCACTGCAAAACTCTTCTCTGTTTGAGGTTGTTAGAACTTATGCACAAGAGAAGAGTCTAATCACATTAAGTAACTTATTCTGCTCAATGTGGGACTCCTAACAGAGGTTTGTTTGATTCTGCAGCAGTTGGGGGGGCTTCTGTTTGTGTGGTTCATTGGTTCATCTTGCTAGATAGAATAAATGGGGACCTCTTGAGTGATAATGATTTTAATTTGGATGGACTATTTTAGAAGTCTAGGCTAGGTGTTCATGTCTGTTTTGTATTAGTAGTCACCAGACACTTCTACAGGATTTTAAGTTGCATTTGAAAAATGATACATTGACAATTTGTTTTATTCCATATAATCGGATGACAACTATATTTAAGTTGACTGCTGCATTTAATAATATAATATTAAATGTAGATGTCCTCCGATTTTTCGGAATAAAACAACTCTTGTCATTTATGACTTGTGAGTTATGACTTCTCTATGGGGTTTAGTTATTAACTTTCTTATTCTTATTAATCTATGGTTTTAAATTTAAGCTTAATTAAGTATTTTCATGTGTTATATGGGATTTTTCCACTTATTTATGTTATGTTATATTCATATATATAAATTTTATATAACTTGAAGAAACTCTTGCTTCGTGTTAGAATTCCATAATTTACGTTTCTGTATCTACTCCAATGTCTGATAGAATCTTGTATGAGGTTTAGACTTTTATCTTGTCTTGAGATAAATAAAACAGAGAAAATGTTTTTAGAGAGCTTGACTATTTCTCTCTTATCATATATGCAAAAAGTAAGAACTCAGCTTTGCTGCACTGGACTTAGCTAAAGTTAGCTGTCATTTTTTTTTTCTTTTTTTATATGTTCTTTAGAGGATATGAATTGGATGAGTCCTCACAGAGGCAGTTAGTTAGCTTAGTCATTCTTAAACGTCGATTGTTAATTTTTTTTATCATAATACATCAGAAAAATTTATCACGATGCATATTTAATTTGTGAGACTATATATGTTAAATAATAAACCAATATAAAATACAGTTTTTAGATAAATTTTCACTATATAAAAATAAATTTATATTATCTATGAAATTTGGAAAAGCTTTCTCTATAGTCTATGAGTTTATCTGTAGGACAAGCACGTGTGTATATTCATCTTTAAATTTTAGTAGACTAAGATGATGATGCACGGTAAATTATTAAGGTTAGTGTACTGTATCTTGTTCATAAAATTTTGGGTTCCTTTTAGCGTAAGAAAACAAGGTGGCCACCACCATTCATGCTATACTGAGTTTTGTTCTTGTATGGTATGGCCATTAATGAGCAATTCAAGAATAATGGCTTTTGCTCATGCATCCTATAATCCTATTGCTTACTTCTAAACCACTCTTTCTGAAATTTCTTCTTGTTTCAGGTGGCACGAACAGGACGCATTGCTCTAATCCGTGAATCAGGTGTGGACTCCAAGTACTTGCGTGGATATTCTTATCCCCTATGATCTCTTAACCAAACCCCTCACTCAGTTTTATATTCTGTAGAATCAAAATTTTGTATTTCAAAATATTTATGTTCCTTATATTTCCATGTTTTTTTTTAAAACTTAAATTACTTAATATTAGTGTCAGATTTATGTTGTGTGCAATAGGACATTATATTTACTGTTTATGCAACTATGTTATACTCATGCGTTGCACAACTTTTTTATATATAAAAATTAATTTAATGTTCAAAACACATTAAATAGTAAAGTTTTTAGGAAGATATTATGTGGATTTATATTAAATTAGCTGTGTTAATTGTTAATTTTTCAAAAATTAATAATTAAAAATACGATATATCAAATATTATAGTTTAGTGAAGTAATTTCTTAAATATTATCTTATAAACTATTATTTAATTTCTTACATTTAATGATAAAAAGTAGAAATAACTAACTTAGCTGTGTAACAATTGAAGAACATATAACAATATTGTGAGTGATTTTACATTCATACTATTCTTAATGAATAATAATTTAAAAATTTGTGAAAATACAAATGTTGACCTAGTTTAAAAGTAAAGTTATACTATTTTGATTATGCAATATAGTTAAATTCGAACTTACATAACATCTACTTCCAATATATAACTTTGTTCAATTCAATAGTGAAGTTCCAGGCCATGAAATCTTTTAACTTTTTTTCTAATTACAATAAAAAATGAATAAATAACTTGTAAAAATTTCAATGTATAAAAACATTATCATGTTTAACATAAAATATAATATGTCTTTTAACGGTTTTTTTGCGCGTTGTTAGTGTAAAATATTTACGCTACCAACCAATCAATTATGATAACCATGACACATAAGAAGCTATTGTAAAATCCCACAATCTTATCGTCTATTAAAAAAATGTATAGTTAAATGCTATTGTAAAAACTTTTCCTTATTAGTGTATAAAGTATCAAAATTAATTGGTCAATATAAGCTTAAATATTGATTTCATTTTTAAAATTTTTAGATTAATCACTGATATTTATTTATTGTAATTTTTATCTTTAGTATTAATTATATAAATAGTCTAAAATATTTTATATTTGATTATGTATTTATAAAATCATTATTTTTAATTAATATTGTTCATAAAATATATTTCCAAGTAACTAATTTTAACCGTTATATGATGTTTAATATAATTATATAATATCAAAATTAATATTTAATTATTAAAATTGTATAAGAAATATACTTTACATTTACTTGTATTTAATAAACTATTACTACAAAGTTGAAGTTTTGATCAACAATTAATTTTCTTTGTCTCCACTGACATTCCATTATATCTATTAGTACGGAATAATTGAAGATTCCGAAAAGTCCATGTATTATTATTACCAAGAGGAATACAAAATATTAATTGATAATGAAGGAATTTATGAAACTAATTGAAAAATCAGGTAGACATTCATTGAAGAGTCATCAAAATTTTCAATCAGATAAATTTTAATGTGCTGCTTATTCCTGATGTAGGTAAATAATTCCAACAAAACCGGCGATTTAATGTATACAAAGTTATATTTGTGAGTAATATTAGGATGTTAAGTTAATAGATAACCAAATTATACAATTATAAGTAAAAAGTTATATTTGGATTTTCTATTAACGGTTAAGGGGAGAAGTCTCATTTAATATATTTTAATAATTTATTACGTTAATTACTTCTATCATTAAAAAAATTAGGCTTTCTTATTTCTCATTATTCTTTTATTATTTGAGTTAGTTTTTGTATTAATCATTAACTTTAATAATAAGCGAATTAAATAGTTGTGATTTATTAACTAAAACTTTCCTATTTAGTTTAGACAGGAGAATATTCAAAGACTAAAAAATATAGGTAAGGATCAAATTTTCTAAATAATGATAATAAGAGGACAAAAATACATTAAGTCTACTTATTAAAATATAAATTAATATAACTCATAATAATAATAATTATTATTATTATCATTATTAATAAGATTTAATACATTTTATTAAAAGCATAATTTAGTTCTTTAAGTTCCTTATTTTATTATTCTTATTATTTAGTAACTTTATGTATTAACAAGTTCATAACTTAATACATGATTTATTTTAAGAATATATAAGTTAATTAAATGAAAAAAAAAAGAGACAGGTTTTTTGTGGATTCCTTGATCTCAATAAGCATCTTGATAGATTTGAACTTTTCATTTTTACATAATTCGACCTCGAGCCTGCGAAACAGGTTCGAATCATTCTTATTCAAATTTATTTTGTTGTTTTCAAATCTATTCCTAGTTATAAGATATCTCTCATTTTTATTTTTTTTATAACTTCACTTCATTTTAATTCCCAGATTACATATTCAATATTTAAACTGGTGACCCAATCAACCAAGTCAATGCAGAATATTAATCGATTGAAGTTCAATCTTTAGTAAACCTGACCAAGTCAATCGATATTTTACTTCAAATAAAGCAGTTGGAAAATAAGATACATGTGCGTGTGAAACATATATAAATTATTTACCATTTACTTCTTTTTAAATCCTCACAACTTCGAATAAAAATTTACTCAAAATTATTAATACTCTTGAAAAATAAATTACAACTACACATCCTTACCCAAATAGTCCCGTAAAATTTATTGGCACTAATTTTAATTATTTGTAGTTTTAAATAAATATTTGTTCATCTTTAACATTGTAACTGCCTGTATTTTTTTTAATTCAGATCATCTTAAATTTCAATTATAGTCAAATTTTATATTACACAATCCACGATTACTTACTAATGCAGAAAACATTAATAGGAATTCATCTGTAGTTTATCAAAAACTTTCCTTATGTCATAAACATTTAGGTAAATATTTAAGAAAACCCATTGTTGAATTATATAAAATTCACGTAACATCCTTCAAAATAAGTCTATTTTTAATTTGGTAAATTCCATTGCCAAATTATAGACCCACACGAATTTCAACTAATGAGAAGATTAGAAGAGAAGCGCAATTAGCAATTTGAAAATAACACTACATCATCAAGCTAAAAACACTGAAGCAGAAAGCATCATTATAGCATATATGTCAACATAAATTGTTACGCACAACGGAGCTTCTGAAAGGGAAAAAGTAACCCAGCAACACAATCTTGTTTTAAAAAAGAAAACATTTTATACCATAATTTATTATAAACGTTAATAACATTCCTTGCAAAGTCCATGATTACGGATCCCTTCAGCAACAGATCATAAAGAACATCATGCAGTGTTCTTTACTCTTCTGCAGCACTAGCAGCACTAAGATCCACACTAAGGTCAAGAACCTGTTCAAAATTGAAAGCAAGAATTAGCATGTTACCCAATTTCCAAGCAAGTTTTATCAAGAGATATCATCAATAATTATTCAAGATTTTCCATGGCCAACAGTAGGGGCCACAAACGCCCAGGTTGTTAGTCCATCCATAAGCTTTCTGATTACTCAGTGGTATAAATGCAATTGCACCAAAAGAATTTAATATCTTTGACTTCTTTTTTTTATGAAAGTCATATGATTTTGATATTAAAACAAGTCAAAGATATTAAATTCTTTATGTTAAGAAATTAATATTAAACTCAGGTGTAGAACAATGTCAGTCTCTATCTGTGTCTTGTAAAATTAATTAAAGAAATGGAAACAAGAGGTCACCATGGCATAAAACTTACCTTTCCAGTTATCAATGTATACATGTTGAGAACATCTTCCACAGTCGACTCAAAGTGAGTAGTAGCATCATAACTCTGTAAAAAAGTTTAAGATATGGTACAGTCAACCTATCAACATATAGCACAGATATCTCCAAGACTAAGTAAATTACCATTGATATAAAGCAGTTGTCCAAAGTGGGTTCATTGACCGGTTCATATCTGTCATAGATATCAAAAAATATCTCATCAACAGGTCCTAGAAGGTCAATTCCAGGTTTTAGTTCGATTGCTGGCTGATCTGTCTCTGCCTCGGATGATACAAATGCAATATACTTTCCCTTAGGAGCAACATTGTGAGTATATGAGCAACAAAATAGGTACCTGCCCAGGAGATCAGAATAGAACATTCAATTTAAAGAGGAATATACAATTTATAATTGACTGGTCATGCCATGCAGATATGTTAATTATTTTTCCAAGTACTAAATATCAAATCATCGTGGAATTTTATTATATCTTCCATATTGAGTATGTTAAAAAATTCCATTGACCTTACAAAATCATATTGTTTACTACATTTAATAAAAGTTTTAACATATTTATAATTGTTGAAATTATATAGTATAGCTGAAAAATGCGGGAAAGAGAAAAACAAAGGACAGTATGAATGGAGATTGATATTGATGTCATCTATCAAACAAAAACATGTACCTAATGGTCATTTATGCAAATAGCCTAGGTCAATTACTAGTAAAGTACAAATAGTAGAACCCAAACCCGATTGGACTGTTCAGATCATGAGACACCCGAAATAAGAATCCAAATATTCTATAACTCCCTCCTAAAGCTTGCTGAGCTCACAAATTTGTTACAAATAAACATGAAGAAAGAGAAGCACCCAAAAAAATATGGAATGAGCCCATACGTTGCTGAACAGTCATCACAACAAAATAAAGCATCCTCCTGTGTGTGAGAAAAGGCACAGGAGAGAGGTAACACATAAAGTGAGAGCTCATATACAAAAATAACTAAGACGGCTAAAGTAAGGAACAGGCAGCACAACTGGATAGAATGTTGCTTAGGTCAAGGAAGTGAAATGATGGGAAAATTAAAAGATGTGCAGTTGAAATCTCTACTCAAGAAATTGTACAGCAAGGTCAATCTTCTCCCAATTCATGAAAAGTAGTATGTGGAATATCCAAATAGCAATAGTATCCACAAAATTGACTTCAGAAGGACCAAAATCATTCAGAATTGTATACAGCTCAAAACAAGATCATGCCAGAAGCATAGAGAAATCAAACAGTAGTAGGTCTAGTGTAAGCTTGTATTCATCAATATTGTAAAGAGAAAAGAATTCTACCAAGTAATAATGGCACAAGTGCTGTGCTGTATTAACTGTTTGTAAAGTTAATATACAATGTACATACCATATATATAGATATATATGCATGCACACACACACATACATATTTGCATACTGTCAGCACAGTTCAGTGACTTTACCCCTACTTCATTGAATTTTTGAAATCATCAAATTAGCAATTTCTAAAATAAATAAAAATCAAAGCAACAAAATTATTTCATGCAGAAAATATTTGATCATTTTCCTGTAACAGAAATAATTCAGATGAAACTGAAGGATTTAGATTCAGTTAAGAAACCACAGCTATCACTGACTAATGGTCCCCCCCACCCCCCCACCCACCCACATATATATATATATAATAAAATGCTGCATGGAAACTTACATGTCTGACTTCCGACCCAACTGTTTCTGTGGTAAAATAATTTGCACCGAATGGGAATCATCAGTATGGGGAATTGGGTGGTTCATGATGGCTATTGCCCTTGCAACCTTACCAACCTTCCTCACCTGTTGAAGATTTTGTTTTAAAGGATGGAGTTTACCATAAAAAATTATTAAAGAAATAGATATCACTTCAACATTTGCCACTAATTTTATCATCGTTCAACAGTGGCTGAGCATCCTTTATAAACAAAACTGGTAACATAGCATGGCTTTAGATTTTAGTAGCAAACAGTTTTTGAAACTCTCACCATCACCATCACCTGAACTGGTTGCAAATAGTCACAAACTAAAAGTTGTTTCTAATACCTTGCCGGGCAAATATGATGGATCACAAACAACTTTTTTGCACTTTGCAGTTTCCCCTTCAGATGTTACACCGACAACCTTTCCTTCATCATCAAATTCTACCTGGCATTGAAACAAAAAAAAAAAATTCCACATGTACCCGGCAAGAGAATCTATATCAAAATGCAGTTCAAACTTCAAATACGAATCAAATTTACAATAACAATTACAGTACAAAACTTGCGATAGGAATAAACAAAGTTAACAAAATAGATAAGAAGTTCAACGAATATAAGCGGTAATATATATATATATATATATATATATATATATATATATATATATAGATAGAGAGAGAGAGAGAGAGAGAGAGAGGAGAGATCCAATTACTCCAAGAGTAAGGGTTAGAAATTTATTCTTCATTTTTACCATTTATTGATTTTGGCAATCCAAGAAAATGAATAGTAAAGATGAAAAGTCTCTAATTCTTACTCTTTGAGTAAGTAGATCCCTTCTCATTTATATATATATATAGGTTTAGAATATACTAACAGTAGGGTATTTTAAAATCATTAGAAAAATTGACCAGTAAAAAAACTTTCCGAAATTACTATTAATTCATGCTCATAAATTTTTGCACAATTAACTACTCCCTCCAACCAATAACAGATGCCATTTTACAAAGACCAAGAAAGGTTAATAAATAGACGAAATTCATTTTACAAGAAATTAAACTTATAATCATTAATTTGTTTATAGTTTTTGTTGCCTATTATTAATAATTTGGGGTATAAATGGAAAAGGTAATTAATATTAAAATGACAGTTACTTTGGGACTTAATCTTTCTTCTTACACATTACATACCATAAGACAGAGGGAGATTGTTCTCCGCTAAAAAAAAAGTCTCCAAACTAGAGCATTTAATATAGTTTTCACTTTTCAAAGAAACTAAAATACCACCGGTTTGGTGACAAATTAATAACATAATTAATATATTCAAAATTTAAAAACATGGCATTCAAGATCTAATAAATAAAAATTATAGTTCAAGACTGGAAAAATCTAAAAAAAAATGTTCCTATTAAAGTTGTAATTGTTTAACAGTGAAAGCCATACACTGGAGTTAATTGAGAGATCATAAGACAGATGCTAAGTGTTCGTAGTGTATGCGTGTCAAAAATAGTACATACATACCTTGCACTCAGGTTTGTTTAACATATATGTTCCACCATAAACTGCACTAAGCCGTGCAAATGCCTGGACAAAAAAGAATTAATTAACAAATCCTGAGGAAAACAAATTCCAACATGGGCAACTAAAGATATATAAAGAGTGGGATACCTGGGGAAGCTCTCCTAAACCATACAAAGGGTATATGTAAGGTGACCCTCCTTGAAAGCGTGCAAGAGACTCTGCATATAACTACAAGTAGGAAACCAAATAATGCTAATGGGAACCAAATAGAACAGAAGAAACTTTCAAATAAGATGAATCCAGTAATTAGAATGAATTACAGGTGCATGATAACCCAGTAAATTTACCTTCATTCTCTTCACAGTGTCCAGAGCTGGCTCAGACAGGTAGCGATCATCTCTATGAAGCGCCAAAGCATGACCAATGAAGTCTACAGTATTATCATCAAGGCCGTATTTTCTGACACAGGAACAACAAAAGGCAAAGAAGCTTTAAAATACTCCTTCTGACCATCCAGACAAAGTTCTATTTTCTTTTAATTACAGGGATGAAGAGAACGCAATATCCGATCAGGAAATGTAAAATACATTTGACAAGCAATTAGATTCCATATGTACACAAAAATGATGTCAAGTGAACCATCAGACTTAAAATCTGGAGTTTTGGACTGATAAAATATATATAACACTTACATAACTGATAAAATGTATATAATGTTCTATCTGCATTGAAATAAATCAAAAACTCAATTTAAATTGAAAAACAGGATTAAACCTGTGTGACTAAAGAAACAATGGAATAAATTTAAAATAAATAAATATAAGTAAATAAAACTGAAGTAGAAGAAAATAGAATCAAATGAACAAGTTCAAAGTTTATTGAAAAGGATCTTTCAGATTCACAACGGAGGGGACTGGATATCATGATGCCATTTAAAAAGTACTAAGGTCAACAAGACATGCTAGTTATTCCCATTTTCTATACCAATTTCACTATCTACATGCAGAGCATCAAATCAGTGTAAAAGCTGAGTCACTAAATCTACAAAAAACAGCAGATACCGCAAGAAAACAAGTGCACACATACGCTATCAACTCTTTAGTAGTGACTCTCGTCAAGTCCAACCCCTCATGGGTCTTGGGGATACTCTCATTATAGTTTTGTACGTAGATGAAAAACTTGCGAGCCCGGCGTTTTTCAAATAGTCCCATAAGTGGGGACTTTAAGGCTTCCATATCGTTTGAGGGCACTTTGTGAACCTGAAGAATTCCGCCAACAAAATAATTACATCATCTAAAACAAAACAAACCTCCCATTAAGATAAATCAGAAACACACCTTTCCTTTATTAAACACATAGCTCCCATCCACAGCTTTAAAAGAGAGATACTTTGTCACATCCGTATGTATGAGAACTCGCACCAAATTGCCATTAGCCATAATAAACTAGACAGTAAAACATCGAATAATGTCACACACAATACGGTACACCAAGTTCACATCCACCATTATTTTAGCATGCTAAAATAGAAATAAGTAAGACCTTAGGATTCATATCGATGTTATAATCCCTGCTAGCGCCCAACTGTGGAGGAGGCTTATCATCACCCCTGAATCTCTTCCAAAGCTGAAGACAAACCAGAAAAATCATCATTCCACAATTCAAACATCAATCATAAGAGAATTAAATTCAAATTAATTTCAGCAGAAAAGAAAAAATAATAATATAAAAGACCTGATTAAGATTGAGTGAAGTGGATTCTCCTCCGTAATAGTCATTCCTATCCATGTGCAGAACCTGAAACAAAGGAATTGGAAAGCGAGGATCAGATCGATAGTAAAGAAAGACAAAAGCGAGGTCGATGCAAAGCTTTGAATTGAAATGGAAAAAGTACCTTGAGGCCATCGACGGAGAGAAGACCGCTGAGAATGCATTCCTTGAGACCCGTGCCCAACACGATCACATCGTACTCTTCATCCATGTTCGATCTCGATCTCGCTGAAAACGGGGTTTAGGGTTTTCAAATAGGGAAGAATGATGGATACAGAGCAACACAAGAGTGATTTGATTTGATTGGAGTGTCTGAGAGAGAAAGAGAGAGAGACAGAGAGAGAAGGTAACACGAAAAGAATCGGATCTGAAACCTTGACCTGCCCTGCATAAAAACAACAATAATAATAATGATCACTATTTTTTTTTACTGTAAACATAAATAGATTAAAAAAGAAAAAAAACGCATGTGTTTATAATTAACTGTCACATAAATTTATTATAAATAGAGTTTAATAATAATTCAATATAGTTTTAAAATTGAGAACTGAACAAAATTATAAATAATTAAAATTTAAAATCAAATTATGTAAAAAATTAAATACCAAAATTTAAATTTTAAAGAGGCTAAAAATGTCAGAAAAATTTAGAGACCAAACTTTTTTTTTCTTTGGCTTATAAATTATAAAATGTTTTTTGTTCATTTATTTTCAACTGTGAAATATTCATACAATGTACTGAATTAACCATAATTAAATCTGACAAGAAAAGCAAGTTTTTCATTTATGGTAAATCCAAATTTAAGTTATTAAAAAAAATGCTTATATTCTTCAATCAGAAAATAAACACAATTTATTTGCCTATATATCATGTATACTTTATCATTTACTGTTTTTCTTTTAAAATAAAACTAACTAAACACTTTTTTCAATAACTTTTTTTTTCATTTATAATATTCTAGTATGAAATATTATTCAAAGAATCCAAAATTAATTTCAATCCAAAGTAAAAAATATTAATAAAAAATTTGTATTTATAATTAAAATTAATTTCGAAACATAATTGCTATATTTTGTTAATTTTGTAAATGGTTGTCCAGAAAGTATGTAAAGAATAAAGTTTATTTCCTTTTCTCTGTTTTTTACCATTCGATGCATAATAATAATAATAATAATAATAATAATAATAATAATAATAATAATAATAATAAACCAATGTTATGACAACCAAATCAATTTTTGAATTGAAATCTTGGTAAATGAAAAAAAAATCTACCAGATTTTATAATTATGGACCCAAAAATTTAACAAAATAGCATCTAAAAGTTTTATGAACTTCTATGTTAAGGGTTGTAGCAAAGTACATTTGTTCCACCAGAATCTTATGTTACTTTTAATACAAGCAATGTTACGTATGGAATCAAATTTTGCAAAAACATTCATATTTGAATAATTATTATAATTAATAAATCTTATTTGAATTCGTGATTACAAATTTATTATTACGACTTTTTAAAATCGTATTTGAAATGTTGTTCCTGATTGAATTTTAGTATGTGACATATTTGTCATTAATAAATTTTCAGTAAGTTAAAAAAAATTATTTTTAATCTTAATGTCAAAATAAATTAAATTTAACAAGACAATTAGAAAATCATTAATTTATTTTGAATATTTTATCATGTTTGTATGCCTATTTAATTAAAAAATGATATTATATGTGTATTTTTTTTAAGAGTATTCGAATATTTGTATGGAGAAATAATTTATTTGTTGAAATGTTGTAGAAAGTACAAACCCATTGGATTTATTTTATTTTAGAAATAAATAAAGACACTGTCGTCTCTCTTTTAAACATGCTACATCGTGTCAATGAGGAGGGACGGAGGAGGGGATCCAATTTAGGGAAAAAAAATGAGTCCTTGAAAACACCAAACCCTAAAAAGCCAAACAGGTTTGAAGAATTTGCGAAGCAAATAGCGGTTTTAGGCGGAGCGTAAATGGAGATTCACTACAGTAGCAGCTACTTCGAAAGACGTCCCATTCTCAAGTCCAAGGCTCCCGCAGTTAAATGGGTCAAAGAATGGTATCGATAAATTTCACGCCTCTCTTAAATTCATTTTGCATCTGTTTTAGGGTTTTCAATCTTATTGTTCGTGGTAGGGTGGCTATGTGTGTAATGGGGAGATATAAAAAAGAGGGATTTAATTCAATTCACTAGGCTCAGTTTATTCGTTTTTATTGAATTTACTTTAGGGAAGTGGTTGATTTTGATTTTTCATTGCGGGTAAACCATTGAGTTTGATGGTTTTAGATGGACGAGTTGGGAGGGGAAGTAGGAGAAGAGGCAATTTTTCACTCAAACTGATTTTTATCCTAATTGAGATTTTTTATTTTTTTGAATGAGTGGAATTATAATAAGGGGTTATTATTTGACCTCGCTGTTGTTGCTTTTATAATTTTTTTATGATTTTATTGGTTTAGGAGTGTGAATGAATGGAGAGAATGTGTTTAAAGTTAGTCTTTCCATGTAGGGTTTAGTGGGAGAGATCAATTATAATATATTTGTCATCAGTTTGTTTCTGCCTTTTCCTACTTGATTAGGTAACAGGTTATGCTAATAGTCTGATTATTGTTACTGCCAGGGTTCCACAAGATCTTGTAACGACTGGAGGGAAATGCATGCTCTTAAAATGGGTAACAGGTTGGTTTTATTTGTTATTTAGCAAGCTTACAGCTTTGCTCACTCCTGCCCCCATTTGTCCCTTCTATATTTGTTTACATCTGTGCATTCTTTTAGAAATGTTTTATTTAGCTTCGATAAACAGTTTTGTTATGATACAAAACTTGGTGGAAAATAACGGGAAGCAAGATTTGAGACAGAAGTTATAACATGGTTTGCTGTGGAGAGATGCAAAAACAGAGAGAAGTTGGAGAGATAGACACAGGACTATTAAAAGTTTACCAACCCCAGTTGAAATGGGGACACCTAAACGCCTATTGGATTGGAATTGGACTTCAAACAAGGCTGTATTTAATTGTCTTGTATAGAACTCAACCAAAAAAAGTTACTGGAACTGCCTGAAATAAATTCTTTTCAGACTACTGACACTAGTATTTTATTCTTACTTACACAACCCAGTCAAAAGCTGCAATAGAATCCACCACATATTAGATTGGGCTCAAGAATCCTATCAACAACAGAACATCCTGGGTTTTATTTATCACTGAAAACATTATGACACAATGAACTGTTAAATACTCCTTTGAAAGCTATTCTTGCTAGGTATTAAGCATTGAGTCCATTAGAGCTTCTTGAAGTCCAGGTAGGATAGAAGACTCTTAATAAAAAAACAAATTTGTAGCTAACGACTTTGTGAAGCGAAATTTATAGAAGCCGATCTGCATGTTGGTGTTAGATCTGTACATTTCCCTATTGGTTAATAGCTTGGAATTTGAATGTTGAACTCAATGGTTTTTATTCTGAATTGTTTTACCTTTTTTTCTTCTATAGAAGTTCTAATATAATTTTTAATACTTGATACTAACTCAATAAACAATGTAGTTGTAAACATGCAACAAATATCTTATGATGTTATTTCATCTTGTTTTGTACCTTACATTTATCATTGTTTTATTTTTCTTAGAGGATACCTTGAAGAACTTGAAAGAAAAGACAAAAGAGCCATCAATGCCTGAGCCAGAACCTGAGCCAACTACTGAAGTACTTTTTCTTTGCAGCTATGATGGATGTGGAAAGACATTCATAGATGCTGGTGCTTTGAGGAAGCATTCTCACATCCATGGAGAGAGGCAATATGTCTGTCACTATGAGGGATGTGGAAAGGTAGTGAGTTTGTTACTTACAGATGAACAACCATGCACAAGTATTTATTATATATATACAATTGTATTGCCATGTTTTGAAATTATTTATATTATTGCATGCTGCAGAAACAGATCCAATTACACTCTATTTTCCCAGTCTCTTGTCCAGTGACTGGCTTAATAGCCTAAAAGTATTATTGTGAAACATTGTGTTGAACCCTCTCAAGCAGAAAAAATTCTATTAGCAGTACTAAGAGCGTTTTGTTTACATTGCAGAAATTTCTGGATAGCTCAAAGTTGAAAAGACATTTTCTCATTCACACAGGGGAGAGGGATTTTGTGTGTCCTCATGAAGGCTGTGGGAAGGTAATGAATCTATCCAATTAATGGTTTGTTGCATTCTTTGATGACTTCCTAATTGGTGTTGCATGTGCTGTATATTATTCTATTTGGTTTACAGATTTAGATTTGTGGCATATTTCCAATTAGCTTGATGCTTGCCATCTATTTATTCCTGTCATGGAGATTATCATCATCATTTCAGTCTTGCTGTCTGCATTGAATCTGTTTCGGTTGAAATGTTTTTCTCAATGGAAGTTTGAAATTACCAGTTATGTTCAAGAACCAAAGCTTGAGTGGTTGGTGATGAGACCTTATCTACCTAGTCATTAAATTGTTGATATAGAGGGTAACCAAAGAAGTCGGAAATTTAACAAGTTGAATCAATCAAGACTAAATATTTCTTTTATAGTTTGACTAAATATTTAACCAAAGAACCTGTCACCTTAACAAGATGAATCTGTCATGAACTCTCTCTCTCTCTCTCTCTCTCTCTCTATATATATATATATATATATATATATATATATATATATATATAATAAGTGTGTATGTATTAATGTGAAAATCTAGACATTATTTAAACGTCCTCTATAGGATAATTGTCAATGTACCTTCTTTAAAGCTACATTAACCTCTTCTGAGTGGACGAAATACTTTTTTGTATGATAGTATCTTCAATTATTATGCACTATTTCATTATCTGGTAGTTTAGAGTTTAGGGTTTTGGATAATGTTTTTTATGAGTGTATGTTTGTTATCACAACATCTTATTGATCGAATTCGTCAACCTGATACAGGCCTTCTCCTTAGATTTCAACTTAAGGTCTCATATGAAAACACATTCCCAAGAGAACTATCATATCTGTCCATACTCAGAATGTGGAAAGAGATACGCTCACGAATACAAGCTAAAGAATCACATCGCATCTCATCATGAAAAGGTTGGTACATGTTATCATGTAAAACATCTCCGTTTTTTTAGTTTATATCCATTCGGTTTTCGTGTAATTGTTTCATTTGGCATGCTAATATATCTCAATACAACTATACAAGTATAATTGTCTCTAATTTGAGGATATCTGTAGAAAGATAAAAGATGTCTCTAATTCGAAACTGATGAATTACTCCAGTGTATTCTATTCACAAAATTTTGAAACTGTTAACATCTCATGAGCAGTCTTTTAATTTGCAATTTCAACCTTATCTTACAGAATGCATCTGTGGATGTGACAAAGTACACTACTCCACCTTCAGAGAAGCAAACAAAAGCTGCTAAACCTTCTGGAGGGGCATATGGTTCTGCATCATCTGACCGTCCCTATGCATGTCCCTATGACGGGTGTGAAAAGGCGTACATCCATGAATACAAGCTTAGACTCCATTTGAAGAGGGAGCACCCGGGGCTTATGCCCGATGAAAATGCTGAGCAAGCTCAGGCTAATAATGTTGACAATGAAATGGATGAAGCAAGTGACCAAGATGCCTATATCGCGAAACGGTCAAATGGTAAAAGTCAGAAGCAGAGTAGGGCTAAACCAAATCTTAAATTGCCTCCTTCGAAAATTGCAAAACGCAAAGTGTTGTCCGCGCCCACTATAACTGTAAATAAAAATTCTTGGCCCGTGAAAGATGAACCTTTTGATGAAGAAGATAGTGAAGAAACAGAAGAGGATCGTGACAATGTTGAAGATGGTTGGAGATATACTGGAGGAAACAACGAAGATGACGATGAAGAAACAGAATATGAAGACTGATAATCTGTTGTGGCAGCCTCTCTGAAAGTTACTCTTTAAAGAATTGTATCTTCTCTCTTCTACAAAAATAATTCAGTTGTCTCTCGTTATTTGCTTTGGCTAAGCAAATGGTATTTTGTCAGACTGTGTTGCCTGTTTACAAGCATTAGGAAGAACTACTACTTTTTAATATTTTTTATATAATGTCTGATAAAACTATATTTTAATTAATTTATAAAATTGTATATTAGAAACAAATTAATTTTTGGAAATTTATTGTGTAAATAATTGTAATTTGTTTATTATAATTGGCAATCATAATTGTAATTTTTGGAAATTATATATTATCTTTAGGTGAAATTGGCAATCATAATTGGTTATTTTCAGTTAAAGAAAAATATTGATTATATTAAAAATTGGTTAGTATTTAAATATAATTATTTTTATTTATAATGTTTTTAGTATATTTTCAATTTACTCTAATGATATGGGAATCATAATTTTATTTTGCATTATAACATCAAGTATTAGTATTTAAATGAAAACATTATATATATATATTTCACAACTATAATATTATATTATCATTTTTTATTGAACAAATTTCTACATTCTGTATTTTTATTTATGTTTGATTTTGACCAATTATTTTGTAAACTTTTATTGATTACAATATATAAGAATAAAAAAATATTTATAAAAGTAAAGGTTTTGTTAGTATTTTATTGAGAATTTTTCCTATTAATATTTTCAAAATTATAAGTGTAATGCAATATAATTTGTTAAAAAACAGTTAATTTAACGAGTTTAGTTAATAAAATATTAAGTATATTAAAAGGTTTAGCATATATTTTTTTTTTAAATGGATCTATTTTAATATTTAAATATGTGTAATTAGTGTGGTTTACTCGTTAAACTATCATGAAAAAAAATTATATTTTTTATTAAAAATAGGACTATTTAATTAAAAATTCGCCCAATTTACTGCGTATAGTATATTTTGTATATATTATTTTTTCTTTATTTTTTAATGTAATAATTTCCTAATTAAATTTATAACTTGTGTAGGAATTATATAATAATTATATTAATGTTTTAATTTTTAAATTCAAAAATTGAAGTAAAGTTTAATTTTTAAATATTGAAATAAGCATAAAATTATGTATATTTGTAATATTTTTTGTGATAATTAATTTATTGCATCTAAAAATAATCGTTGTATAAATAATCGAAGGTTTTGTAATTTGTTGTGTTTAGTGTATCCATTTATAGTTATGATTCAGATTTATCTCATATAGAAATTTATCAGTGTTCATTGTTTTTTCATTAATAATTTTAGATTGCATATTCTTATTCTTATTCTATTTTTGAAAAATAATGATATTTTTTCTTATATTTTTATGCATATCAGTCTGGATATTGGATTATTTGCTACTAAATCACAAATAAGAGAAAAAAATATGTAAAATTACAAACTTCAATTTTGTTAAGTTTAAACAATATAGTTTTATATGTTACTTCCTCTATTATATTCACGTTATTTGTTGTTTCCTTTGCGTAAGTTTTGTAACTATTATTATATTTGCATTTATCATTATTTAACATTAATTTTTTTTTCCTTTTGTAGCATGGTAAGTGAAATAATTTAATCATCCACAAATAAATACATAGATTTTTGGAAAAATAAGTTACTAATTAAATACATATAATATAAATTAAGTCCTTATATTAATTTTATAACAATAAAATATTATTATTAAATATAGAATTTATTTTAAAAAATCACAATATAATATAACCAAGTAAAATTTGGAAAAACAAATGATAAGACTACATATATAAATATCAGAAAAACGGATCTTTACCGAAAGAAACCGACAAGGTTTTGTTTGGCGGTGCACCGTCGTGGCAAACGAAGAAAGCAAGAGGAGTGAGGTGGATTCATGGCTTCGGCTTCGGCTTCGGCTTCGGCGGAGGAACTGACGCTGAGAGTGAAATGGAGCGGCAACGAGTACACCGTCCGTGTCTGCGGCGACGACACCGTCGGTGAACTCAAACGCCGAATCTGCGAACTCACCAACGTCTTACCTCCTCGTCAGAAGCTATTGTACCCTAAACTCGCTTCCAAACTCAACGACGATTCCATCTTCCTCTCTCAACTCCCTCTCAACTCCTCTCTCAAGATGACCATGATCGGGTACCACGCCCTTTCCACTTTTAGGGTTTACTCTAATCACCACCATTCATTTCATCATCATTATTCATCATCTTAACAACCATATCAATTGCAGTACTACGGAAGAGGACTTACTCATCGATCCAGTGGATTCCCCTGAGATTCTCGACGATTTGGAACTCCCCAAGGACGAAGCTGTTGACATCAAAGATATGGAAGTCAACAAGCGAAAATTGACCAGACGAATTAATCAAGTCAAGGTCTTTCTTCTTCTTTCTTTCACCTAATTGAATTATTATTGTAATGTTATATATATACACACGTATCTCAATACGTACATTCGTATGAACTTGCAGATTGAGCTTCGAAATCCGTGTCGCAAAGGAAAGAAACTTCTTGTTCTGGATATTGATTACACTCTCTTTGATCACCGCTCCTCCGCTGAGAACCCTCTTCAGCTCATGAGACCTTGTAATTTTTGCCCCCTTTTTTATTTCTATTTTTTATTTATACTCAATTAGTTTATGAAATTAGCTTAGGGTTGCCAACAAAGATATTTTTAATCGATCGAGTTATCGAACCTTGGCTGCTTGAGTCCTTCATTTTGTAACTTTAGAGGCTAAAAGGATTGTTGGTTGGTCATTTTAGTGACTACAGTGATATTTTTGTGATTTCAGGAATTACGATTATTAGAGTTTATGATTCCAGGGGATAATTTGATGAATTAATCTGTTGTTATTATTGAGTTTAATCGAAATGTACTATGAATGGTTTTTTTACACTCTCAATTCAATCACTGGTTGCAATGTATGGTGGATTTGTTAGGCTTTCGTAAAATCTACCAAAGCCTTCTCGAGGATATTTCAGATTTGTTGATATTATTATAAAATTATTTGCACTGATAGTTCAAACTCATTGTTGCTTTCTTCCTCTTTTTTTGTGTCTAACATGTCCTTTGTTTGCTTTTGCAGACCTTCACGAGTTTCTTACATCAGTTTATGCAGAGTATGACATCATGATATGGTCTGCAACTAGGTACTGTCATTTTACCTTATCTTGTTAAATACTTAATCTTCTGGGACAATTTTTTGAATGTGTCTGTTCTATGTCACTGAATGATGGTTCCTTCACTTTCTGCAGCATGAAGTGGATTAACCTCAAAATGGGGCAACTTGGGGTTCTGGATAATCCTAACTACAAAATCACTGCCCTTCTTGACCACATGGCAATGATCACTGTTCAGTCTTCTTCTCGTGGGGTCTTTGATTGCAAGCCTCTTGGTTTGATCTGGGCACAGTTCCCTGAGGTATAAATATGCATGTGATAAACTAAACCCACAATGGAAATTTAATAGAATCATGTTATGGCATATTTGTTCAATATTACATTGTCATGTGCACAGCCCAATTAATAGTTAACTTCTTATATGGGGAAAAAAATGACACCCAAAAAAGTATTGTTGTTACTTAATGTTTCATAAAGATGTTTGATACTTGTTGTTACCTAATGACACCCATAAAAATGTAGCTTATTAATTTGAGTTGGATAAAATGGCAAAATGGAACTATTGACATACCATATTGTTGTATTCTATATCTGGTTTCAATTTATTGCTATAGTTTTTGAATTTTTTTGCATCAGTCAGCCATACCCATGATCTAGTTGACTTGATGGTGGTTTCTTATTCTATTTCAGTTCTACAGTTCTTCAAATACCATCATGTTCGATGATCTTAAAAGAAATTTTGTGATGAACCCACAGAATGGTTTGACAATCAAACCATTCAGGAAGGCTCATGCCAACCGAGATAATGATCAAGAACTCATGAAACTTACCCAGTACTTACTAGCCATTGCAGAGCTTGATGACTTGAGCAACCTTGATCATTATAATTGGGAGTTATTCACAGAGGACAATGCTAAAAGGCGTAGGCACAGATAAATATAATTAGATGCAATAATGAGAATCTGGTAAGCAAGATGCAGCTTGTAGAGTTATGAGAATCTGCAGTTTATAAAATACATTGAGGATTTCAGCTTTTTATATCTAGTATTTATGTTAGGATGGGTTGAATGACAAAAAGAAAAGGTTTTGTTGTCGCAGCTGTATGGAGTTTTGTAAGATGTCTAATTTGTTGCTTAAGTAATTTATCCAGCAATTCCTGAAAAGAATTTGATTTGATACGGAAAAAGTAGTTCTATCCTTTCATATTTTGTTGGGAAAGGGGTAGGCATGGATAAATATCATAGTGAGAATGGTTATTTGTGACTCATATGGCCGTGCTGTAACTATTCTCAAAGTGTTCAATTGATTCTAATTCTCAACTATGTATTACTTGGAAGTTCAATCTTCTTTAGTGTTTTTGGTCTGTCATATTACTAGGCGGTGTTCTTGAATTTTATGCTTTACGATCTATTTTATTGTCTTTTGTTAGTAATCCTCCCTTAAGTTGGGTAGTTTTTCTCTCAATAACTCCATTTGGATTATGTGGAAAATAGGAGAAAGAATTGAAAGAGATCCAATTTGGTTCATCTAAATTGAGTTAAGAAAAAAGTGCTTATTCTGTTTTTTTTTACCTTAGTGAAGAAAATTTAGTTTTAAAATAAACATTATAATATTAATCGAGGGTACGACAATAATACGGAGATGATGGATATTGTGAAAGTGAGAATAAATCTTTTTCTGAAATTAAGATGAAGGATTTTTTTTTTAATTAAAGTGAAATGATAGATTTCAAGTTATAGATTGAGATGTTGTTACAATGTAAAGTGTGAAAAAAAAAACTTAATTATCAAAGAAAATTCTATATTGGTTAACCTAATTTATATATTAATAAAAAACTAGTTAATATGATTAAGAAATGCAACTGAAACAAATTCTTTTAAGTCTGTACATTCTTCAAGTCTCTTCCGTGAAAAATTAGAGAGAATAAATGAAAAAAGTGAGGTTGATTGATGAAGTAGAAATAGAGTCAACCTGTTTTTGAAAATGAAAATGGTGAAACTCACTGGTAAATTTTTTTACGTGTTTTATTTCTTCTCTATTTTTCTTTAATTAAATGTTTCTATTTTTTTTTTGTTTATCTATTTCAATTTCATCTACTTTATTTATTTCTCCTCTATCAAATGAAGCTTACGAGTGTTCTTTATTTTAAGGAGTCAATTCGGTAGAAGTCGAGTTTTAATGAAAATGGTTGTTTTTCATTTGATTGGACAGAAAAATGAATTTTTTCCATGTAAAGTATGATATATGTTCTGGTTGTAAGTATTACAATTTGAAAGTTAATAAGCAACATAACATTATTTAAAATATGTTAACTCATCACATCACCCATCAACCAATTTAAGTTTTGAACTTATGATTGTGAGGTTTAACTGGAAACACGTGTTCAATTATCATATCTCTTTTATTCAACAAACTGTAAAGTGATGTGCATTCTTTTACACTATATATATTTTTTGGTTATGATAAATTATTATTTTTTCTCTAATTTTTTTAAAATGTTTTTTTAATAATCTTTTTATTGTTTTCAATCGTAAAAATACCATCTAAACCACCTTATTTCAGTTCAATATGTTAAAAGTGAATATGCAAAAACATCATTCGTTTACAACATACAAAAATCATCTCTAATAAATATAAAGAATAATAATTTAGGAAAAACATTAAATAGACTTAATTTTATAAAATTAAACATTTGCATTTATATTTGAGTTTGCAGAAAAAATATTTCAGAGGTGGTAGTACATTTGATGACTCATGATCAAGTATAGCACTGAATTCAACCCTGATATGGGCCAAATAAGTTGCTTTGACTTCCAGGACCCTACAAAAATTAAAAGCAATAAATAACTCTTACTATGCCTATAAATGAGAGCAGAACTCGTAGAAATCAGTGACTTAAATAATGCTCAGGGCCAATTTTCTCACTGCAACTAAATAATATGTTGAGAGAAGATTAACTTCATTAAAATCACATTACAAACATTAGCTTAACATTATCCATACAAATAAGGCACATTCAAATGGCCCTGAGATATTTGCTATTTGCACCGAGCCAAATACCACAGTAGCGGAGATTCACAAGAGGGTGTACAGCTACATATTCACTGAAAATACAGTGGGGGTGAAAGCCTGCAAATGTTGAGTTACCACCTCTGGTAGGTCAAGTGACAGAAATGGAATAAGATTTCGGCAATGACCACCAGGTGCACATTAAATGGTAATAATATAAGTAAATAGAAAACGGAAAGACTAAGAAGGCTGAAACCAGTAAAGTGGGCAGAGAGAAGAGGCATATGATGGAAATCTCTGCACAATCCCATGCATGGGAAGGGTAGGAAACAATTCTATCGCAGGTGTGGCAACACCGGTTGAATATAGAGGCAGAACAAGGCTACAGCTACTGCAAATCTAAATTCTGAGAGCAGGGTCTTGCCCTGAATTGGTGGTGTCCTTGTGTTTTAGAGAAAGGTTTGCAAACTGAGATTCGAGGTCTCTGCTGTTCGAGCGTCTGTGACTACCAGATGGTTGCTGTTGTTGCTTAGTTGGTGGCTGTTGTTGCTGCTGCTGATATAATGCACGTAATCTTCCAATCTCTCTTTCCAGCACTTCCTGCTCCACTGAATTTCACATTGAACAGTTTTTAGTGTACAAAACATGTTCATGTGACATCTACTGAAACTAATCATGCTTTAGCTACTAGTGTAGTAGAATTTGAACCCTGCAATGCAGAAAAAGTCTGCCCAAATGCTACATCGTAGCTTAGGTGTCTGGCTGAGGTACACCTAGTTTCTTGAAGTCAAATATTGATTTCTAACTTCCTCACTATTTTATATTGTCAGATTCTTTTTATATAAAAGGTACTTTCTCGGCACTCAAATATAACCAAAAATACCTATTTTTACAGTAAGAAAGTTAATTAAGTGCATTTAATTTTCTTGATTTCATACAAAAAAAAAACCCTTAATCCTAGTTTTTGGAGATGATACTCAGATTTGACCTTGGTATTTGCTTATATTTCAATCTACCATAGACATTTCTTTTGCTTATATTTTAGTCCAGAGGGAGCACAAAAGAAGGGATATTTGAATGGGTTGCTAATTCAAACTCTATCAAATATATACAATGGGGATAGATAGGAAAAAATCTAACTTCCTCAATTAATCTCATATATAAATAGGACACAATGTCGCAACACAGCAATTTTCAAAGAAAATGTCAACTATGTAAAGAATAAGAAAAAAAAATATACATTAAATTGGCACAAACATCGAGTATGCATTGTTTTCATACAGAAAAACGATAATACGAAGCCCAGGAAGGAACCATCCCATAAAAAGGTTATGACAAAACAAAAAAATAGAAGGTATTTAAAATTTCAAGAGACGTGATGCAGATGAATTTGTAGCTAAAGCTCAGGACTAAAATTTTTTTACAAAAAAATTCCAAAAGAAAAATTTATGCATTTTCGTTTTTATTTTTAATCTATAGCATGTTTGAACATATGGTAAACTAACCTAACCACCAGTAGGAGCAAATCTTATAATCAAATATCCAAGGCAGCAGGTGATAAGATACCTCGCCATTTGGCACATAATTTGATAAAAAAAAAGGTTCATTTATCTTCAGGAAAGTATTTTAGGTAGCAAAAGATCGTTATGATATACGTTGTTAACTCTTTATTATGTTATTGATATGATGTAACCGATCAATCATTAAATATTATTAGCCTCTCAAATTGTTCCTAAACTAGAAAGATTTGGAATTCCATAATGTTGTTATCTACTATACTATAATTTTTTACTTGGGAGATAAAGACTCTCACTCTCCCTATTCTCAATTAACTTATTGTTTTTTATATTTACTCTCTTCTCTGAATACATAATCTTCATACACAATTAATGAGTTGAATTGGTTTTTTAAGATGTTACAATTTTTTTAGAATTCAAATTTAAATAAAATCATGTTCCACTTTAAATTATAACAATCACAATTTAATTTTAAAGTAAATTTATATTATTGTTATTATGAGTATGCTATTATCTTCAAAATCAAACTCAAACTGAAATTAAATTCTATTTTATTTTAAGTTCTTATAAATCCTATTGTCTTCAAAATATTATTTTTATAATAATATTATTATCTTCAAATTTAAATCAAGATATTTTTTATATTTTTATATTAGTTTTATTTGTTGACTGAATTAAATTAAATTATTTTAGTGGATATGATTAAATTATTACACAGAAAATATATCTACCCTGTCCTCTCAAAATTACTAATTAGGACTTCTTCGCTGGACTTAAAGAACTATGACCAACAAAAAATACTGTGGCTGACAGATTTTGTGATGAAAATGATAGAATTCTTAATGAGCGTTCATACACAAAGACTACAGTCATATTCAATGACACATACTATATAATTCAGTAAATTTGACTATTTTTTGACAGAAACTATATTTTAAACATGATTTTAAGGTCCTTGAGCTACAGTTCTGATTTTTTCCACATTACTTGAGTACAACCCAACCTACCTTTTCTTAATCTCATTACAGTAATTCTTCTTGCAACCATGGTATAGTGTATAGCACATAGAAAATAGAAAATAGAATCTAATTAACTTTCTCCTTCCCGGCCACTTATATGATATAATATACTCAGATAAACCTGGTGTTCCTTTTCTATTAATCTACACAACACAATGCATCAAGAATTCCCAAAGGTTTCAACAGTTCAGGCATTTAAGCGTATATAAGCTTCCTCCAAATTCGTAGTACTCAGATTGACATTTCCATGTTTTAAACTTGTGTTACTTGAAAATGGCTAATGCTCATATATAGAAACTTACAATATTTGATAAGCTGTTCTTGTGCTATATTTTCTAAACGTTGATTGAGTGCTTTATTCTCCATACTCAGGATAAGATTCTGCTGGTTAAGAAACTCAAGCTCAGCCGAGACTTCAGACCCTTCTGCCTATGTTGACATAAAAAGAAACAGACTCAGAACTTTAGACTTTCTTACATTATATTTCTGTGCATTTTCAAAAAAATGTCACTCTGCAAACGTGCAGAATATTGCCTTGTGAAGACACACTTACCTGTAAAGCTTGTACATTTCTTTCCAGCTCAGCTATGTATTGAAGTTTCCGGACCCGTGAACGCTGAGCAAATTGCCTGCATTACGAGTGTTTCAGAATATTTTCCTTTTCCATACATGAATTGATTGATTTCATAAAACTTCTGAGAATAAATGCAAAATGAAAAACAGACACAACATTCATCATATAATGAGAAGCATGGTTTAACTGCTCTCTTTACATGAGAATCAGTATACCAACTTTAGTATCATATACATTACTGTGTGTGCAACAAATAATTATTATATCTTTTTCCATTCCATTTTCATTATCAGGATGTCATATGGCACACTGGTAGTCTAATCTTGACATTGATATTATTATCAGATCCACTCTATCTGGTAAAAGTTTAAAAGGTTCCATAATGAGTATGACATAACTTAATGGGTTTGCCACTAGAAAACATTCCGAACTTGCATCCCCCAAATAGATATTAGAGGCATAAAATTAACCAATCACTGTAATATCCATAAAATCAACCAGAGAAAACAGCTACGTACTGTTTAGCACGTTTTGTATCAGTTTCAGAGGCAGATAACTTTGCATGTGAATTGTCCTTTTTTTCAGAAAATGATTTTGCATCCTGCAAGCCAGATTCTACTGAATCGTGCTTTTCAGTTGCAGATGGTTGTAGCCCATCTGCTTCATGTGGTGTACATGGCAATCCTGAGCTCTGAAAAGCTGCACTGTCTTTGCCAGAAGAAGAAACACCAACTGGACTTGTCATGGCATTTGAGAAAGAGTCCCATGACCTATTCTTCTGTTTAGCTAAGCTCATTTCTTGATAAACAGGTAGATGACGAGCATCTTTGCTGCGGTCAAAGTCTTGAGATAACCAAGACGGAATAGGCATCAAATTCTTATATTTATACTCGTCCTGATCAGCATAATTGATGTTAGATGCATTCACTGCGTCTATATACGCAAAAGAATCACTTGATGAACGCCGATGTCCACCTCTTCGAACAGGTGTCTCTGGCTCATTAAGGAGATCATCAAGCCATGAAGGCTGCTCCTCTATAACAAGGCTCTCAGATGATGTACGTTGGTGGTGCGGGATTCCCTCTCTAGGTCTGTTGCCACCCTTTAAACCAATAGTTGGATTTGGGACATAATCAGCGTAAGCTTGGGAAACACTAGGAAACGGACTTTTAGGAGGAAGTAGAGCATGCTTTCCAGGATACATAAAATTTTTGAAACCCGATGAGCCCTTTGAATTTGCCATAGAAGCAGAATCAACAATACCTGTCAAAATCAAATTTATAATTTACCCAAGACTATGGTCATGTAAATATATTAAAAGACAACAAATAAGATTTCAGAAGGGTATCCCAATGAAAATTTAAACACAAAATCCATTATTCAACAATGGTGATCTCATATGCATGTGTTCTCAATTATAAAATATAAAATATACACCACAAATACATGTTACTCTGTGTGTAAGGCGACTGGTATAGTATCCTTAAAAAATTTCCCAACATTTAAATTTGGTTTATATGCATATGTACTCACACCACGAGAAGTGTAACTGCACTAGTCTAACAAAGAATCCACATAACCAAGGCAGCTTTGGAAGAAAAAATAAAGCATCTAAGTAATATTAAGAACCATACATGAGTAAATCCACATACTTCATTTTAAAAAATAAATCCTAAAAAGCTAAATAACTCAGATCTCCATGATACTACATAACATTGGATAAAAGTCCCCAACATGTTAGAAACTTTATGGATCTATCTCTTATATTTACCAAAATGTAATTCTAAAACTTGTCCCGCCATCTCACAAACAAGCTTAAATTTAATATTACATTAAACCATTCCAGATAGATGATCAACATTGCAAACTTTTCCTTCCCTCTCAGTACAGGGGCATGACGCCCCAATTATAAATTTTCATCATAAGCAATAAAGCACCTATGAAATAGTACCCAGCACAACATGAAACATCAATCCCATCACACATAATATTCACCATTGGTTTAACTTAAAACCTCTGACATATTGCTGAACACATTACCATCTTAATTGTCTCTAATAAAAAAATCAAACTCAACCCATGCATCTCACAAGCCAGGCAACGCAACAGTTCACAACCAATGTAACAGAAAACTCAATAACATCATTTTTCAAAAAAATGTCAGAAACAAAGCTCCAGAACTTGGCAGCCGCAGGAAGTTAACTTGGGGAAAGAAAATCCAACCCACAAACAAAAACTGAATATTAACAAATTAAAAAAATAAGAAAAATAAAACGTAGCACGAAATTGTCAAACTTTCCATATTATACTTTTAATACCCCAGACCCAGATGAGGAAAAAAAAACAAAGATAGAAACTTCACTTTTCCACCTTTCCCTAGAATCTGCCCGTAACACGCATTCGGAAAACAAGAGGGGAGAAAAATCAATAACGAATTGAAATTAGCATTTGAAAAACAGAACATGTTGCAATGTGCGACACTACGGCATCAACAGCGCAATGATTCCCAGCTGATCGAACGAATTGGGAATGAAAATTGAAACAGATTCGTTTTCGCAAGCAAACAAGAAATTAAGCCACACCAAAAGGAAAAGAAGAGCAGGAAAGGAAACCCAAAAAAAAAAAAAAAAAAAAAAAAACCTTTGCAGATTGAAGATTCGAGATCCCGAAATGCAATGGTAAAAGAGCTTGAAATCAAAGCAAAGATTTTTTCTCTCTCTCTCTTAGGGTTCGTTTCTTCAACCACCTCTCTCTCTCTTTCTCTTCTCTCTGTTGTTGTGTCTTGTTGTTGAAGCTGGGAAATGGGGCTTAATTGTAAAACCATGATAAGTAAATACTGTTCCTAAAACTTTTAAAATTTAACGTTTTGACCCCTTTAAATCAAGGTTATTCGGAAATTGACCTGGGCCCACCAAGCATCCACTTTAAAATAATACTGGTTGTTGTATCGCTGTCCAACTTGTGTAAAAGACATGAAAAAATAGACCAATTTTGTTATTAAAAATATTCATAACATGCAAAGATTCCAGTAATAACATTTCTCATTGGAGTAAAATTTTATTTGACTTTTCCTTAGTTGACTCACCATGCCTAATCCCAATTAAAAAAATTAATTAAGCCAATAATTATGATTAGAATTCTTGTTTTTAGTAAAAGTTTATCTAATTGAGATGTTAAGATATTGTATATTGGGAAAATTGAGGCATGCTTTCGACATAACCTTATCATCACATAAAAAATTAGGAGGTTATGTTTGGTTTAAAGAAGAACATGATACGTGAAAAAAATAAAATCAAAGAAGGATCATTTTGTTATTTATTAAGGGCAAAAAGTTAGAATATATGTAAAGCGATTTTTAATAAAATAAATAGTATGTAAAGTTAATTTTTTTAATTACAGATTTTGTTTTTCTTCCGATTTTAAAGCATTGAAATTGAGGTTTTTTTTTTTCATTTTTATTTTCTTTCCATTCTTTCTCTTTCATCATTTCTTAAAGTTTTTATATTGTTAATTAACTATAAATTATCATTGATATAATTATATATAGAGAAAAATTTTGTAATTTTTTTTTTTAGTTTTCTTCTTGTTTTAAACTCATTTTAGTTTTTACTAAAATCGTGTGATATATTTGTTAAATTAGATAAAAATCATAAAAAAAAATGGATGTCATTATTAGTATGAGTAATACTGATTTCACTATTTTAAAGTAATGTGTGGTATTTTAGAGGATAAAATATATTTATAATTATTAATTAAAATATATAATTTTGTTATTATAAATTAATAATATATTCAATAAAATTTAAAAGTAGTAATATTTACAATAATTGTTGTTTTAATTAATTACATTTTAATCAGAGTGAAATCCGAGTTCAACATTTACATTTATTATTTTTATAGTTAAAAACCAATATTTTTTAAATAATTTATAATTTATTTTTTGTAATATTTTATAAATAAAATAAAATCTTAGAGTTACATGTTTGACTTTTAATAACTATTGCTTATTGCGTTTACATCTTTTAATAATTAATTCAGTAGGTTAATTTTAATTTTGATAAAAAGTGAAATTTTGAGTTTAATAGGAATGTGTTTTTAGTATTGAAAAAAATGCTCACGCTCTAACATTTATAGTACATGATATAAATTATTATTATTATATACAGTGTTTTAAAAATAATCTTACTTTATTAAAACGATAATTTTTCTTTCACATTAATCTTAAATTTTCTAATTAATCAGTTACATCAAATTTAAAATAATTAACATTTTATTATTTTAAAATAAATACATTAATAAAAATATGAATATATAGTATTCCTTGAAAATATTATTTTTAATATTTATTATATATTTTTTAATTTGAAAATAATTATTATTTATACTTCAAATGAATTTTAAATAGACATGTTTTGTGTATATAATATTAACATGTGATTTTTTTATAAAATAATTGAAAAAAATATTAATATATTATTATTTATAAAATAAAATTAAAAATTACAAAAATAATATTTTTATTATTTAATTATAAACATCAATAATAATTATTTTAAAAAATACATTCATATCTAAAATATATAATTTGAATGGAGTAACAACCTATAATAGAGTGAGGTGTAAAGACAGACAAATCCACGTAGGACGGGACAGGGCACGTCGAAAACAAAACATTGAAAATCTATTCATGTACGACACACTTTTTGTGTTCTACAATATTCTTTTTTAATATCACTTACAAAACTTATTTTCATTTATCAACTTTATTAAACAATTCATCTTATTTATATATTATAATAGTCATATAAATGGCAGTAATAAGATGCCATTTTTTTTAATTCACATTAATTATTTTATTATTCAACAACTTTTAATTAAAAGCCTAACTTTCAAAACTCATTAATAAATAATTTATATTAATTCAAATTTTTTGAAAATCAAATTATATTACTAGTGTAATATATATTTTAAAAAAAATATGCTACATTATTTGAATACTGGGATATTTATAATCAGCAATCAATAAAAAATTAATGACGATTCGATTGCCTCATGTTTTTTTATTGTAACAAATTTTAAATTTTATTAAATAATTATAAAAAACATTTCATTACAAAATAAGTATTAAATATTTTATAATTAAAAAATTCAATTAATTTTTACTTTATTTTAATATTCATAATGTCAATTTCTATTATATTTATACATTGAATTACTTAATCTTATATTTAAAAATAATTTTAAGTATGTTTTTAATTTCTAAATTCCATAATGGTTATGCTTTTAGTCAATTCAATTACTTATTTTTAGTCTTTTAAATATTAAATTTGTTAAAAAAAGAGTTTTTAATTCTTTAAATTTAGTGTTAAGGAACTAGAGTCATATTTTATTAAGTTTAAGAAATTGAACAGTTTTTGGAACTACAGTTTTATATAAATAGATTTGTGAAGATATTATCAATATAAGTTTGAAATTTTTTTTTTTCATTTATGAGTCAAGTGAATCATGATTTATGATTTGACTAGCATAATAAATTAGTTTCTTTAGCATAAAATTATATTATATAAGTGAATTTCTCTTACATTAATGAAAATTGATTTAAAGATAAAAATATGAAATGCGGTGAACGTGGATCGAACACGTGACCTTCAGATCTTCAGTCTGACGCTCTCCCAACTGAGCTATCCCCGCAACTTGAAAATTAAGTTCACTTTAAAACTTTTGTTTATTATATTTGGAGTCACTTGATTGATTCTTGAATACAAACTTCATTATCTCTACCTACAAAGGAACTCTAGAAGACATAGTTGTTGCCATCATAAGGTCCTAAACCTCCGCAAGAAAGGAGCACACAATGCTCTTACAAATATTACACATAGAAGTTTGGTTCAGATTTTGCCATGTTGTTTCAGCACAAATTACTAAGGTTACGAATTTAAAGCTCTAATTTTCAAGTACATGAAAATGGAAGCTTGGAGCAGTGGCTGCATCCTAGGACACCAAGTGTAGATAGTATGAAGAACATTGAATCTTGATGAAAGATTGATGTTGCTTCTGCAGTACATGAAGATCATTCACTATGATCTAAAGGTAAACAATGTCCTTCTTGACGATGACATGGTTACTCAATGGAGTGATTTTGGCATCGCAAGGCTTCTTTCTATCAACCATTAATGACACCAGTTTTAAGCAAACCAATACAATTGGAATAAAGGGACAGTTGGCTATGCTTCTTGAGGAATTTTCTAAGCTCTTAATGTATGTTTCCATCAAGTCTTGAGTTTACATGCATGTATAGACATAGGAAATTTGTTTGCATTGTGAACCAAAAAAAATGGTAGTAGTTATTCTAAAAGTTTTTGTAATTTTGTTAAAGAGTCATTTCCTGATAATGGTATACACATTTTGGACCCAGCACCTGTACCAAGACATGAAGAAAGAAACAACAATAGAAGAATACTTCCAGAATCTTACTCCAACAGTTGAAAAGTTCTGAGTTTCACTCTTTTAAGGTTGAACTTGTTTGTTCAATGCAACCGCCAAAAGAAAGAATGAATATGGCGGATGTCACCAGAGAGCTAAGCAAAATAACAAAAATCTTTCTTATTGGTAGGATAAAAGAAAAAAATGACTTAATTTTCTACATGTTAATAATAACAAATGTAGATGTGTCAGACTATTCCGCCAAATTTTAATAGCAGTTTTTTTTATCATACCTCCTGTTTTTAGTTTAGAACTTTTGAATTATTTCACACATTAGTTTTCCTTTTCAATACCATTTGTAGTAATTTCATTTTCTACCATTGGTATGTATTTCCAAAATTCCTAAACTACAAAGATAACTAACTTCTTGATGTTCAGGTGTTGGCACTTGAATTACCTAAGCTGAGATCAAATGTCATGGCTATTTCAGAAAATGATGTTATGATTTACTGTATGGTGTAGTACTCTAGCAGAGTTATCCACCCATACGAGTGCATTCATCAATCATCCTTCCAGAAACATGTCATATATTTTATGAAATACCCCATCTAAATAGTGGACTTACTGTACTTTTATTTTTGTTCATTTTTATTTTCCATGATTTTTCAAATTTGGATGTGTTTGATGATTTCAAAATAACTCTATCTTCATTATATAGCGTAGAATTCTTTCTAACTTTTTGTGACATGTGAAATTCAAAAAATAAAATAAAAAATCATATCAAATATACAAATTGACTAATATAAAACACAAAGTAGTTTGGCCATAAATAACAAAAGTGGACTGCAACAGTATAAATTGACTCGCAGTGACTGGGTATGTTTCACATAGACTTCCACTCTATCTCTCTATTTAAGGAATTTAACGTTTCTGAGTTCATGTCTTATGTTGTGGTCTCTATGTTTAAATATTAAGGTAACAAAGGAAAAAAATTTTCAACCAGCTGTTCCAAGAGTTTTTAATCTGGCTAATGGGTAGAATTTATAATTAATGAAAGCAGTAATGTACAAACTTTTCAAGGAGTCATACAATGAACAGACAATTTAATGAAGTAATTTTAGATCAGTGTATGACTTCAATACAAGCGTGGCTGAAAATGAAAAAGTCTGTTTGCATTTCTCTTTAATTATTATACCATTTTAATTACAGAGCATAGTTGTACATATGCACTACTTTCTCCGTAACTACATATAAATAGAACCTTATATTGTAATATCAGCAAGTTGTATACTGATTAAAAGAACTAAACATCACAAAATATTATATATATATATATATATATATATATATATATATATATATATATATATATATATTATGTATATATATAACTGAGCTCGAAAATTTGACAGGCATTGATATTTTCATTGAAAATATGTCATATTTTGACCAAATAGCAGAGTTAGAATTCACATCACAAAAATATATTAGAAATTTGTTTTAGAGAGGTAGATATAGATATATATTAGATTATAGTGATTATTGTAATGTCTTGTGAAGGTCCCAAGTTTCATGATAGTTGTCCATTTGTACGACGTGATTACTATTCATTAATGAGAGCCACACAATGTTTCTTTTCCTTATGCAATCATCATGCACATACATACACACACACGGACCACAAAAAAGAAGGCAACACAAACGCACTCCCACGACACCATAAAGTTTGTAAATGAAAAATGGCGTGAATTATCAGATGTGAATCGCATCATGTGTTAGAACATCCTATACATCAACTATTAAAATTATTGTAAGAAACCGAGATACATTTGTGTCTGTTCTTCAGATCAGACGCTGTTCTTCGGATACAACACTACAGCTTATGATCCCAGCAATTTTTTCCATCTTGCATACGCTAAAATAAGGAAGAAAAGCAATACACAAGCTGCAGACGTGATCCAAACAAAGGGCCAAAATATTCCATCTATACTATATAATTTACAAGGAATGTTCATACCAAATACACCAGCAATCAAAGTCTCAATAGCAATAGCAAATGATGCAATAGTCAATGTCAACTGCAGCTGAATAAGTTCATTTCGGTGGTTATCCAGTTGGATGTTGACATAGTCTTCAGTGTCGTCAATATACTCTCTGACCTGAAAATCAGAGTATCCATAAAGACTTGTACCACTTCTCAACAACAATTAATTGAACAGTATTCAAGATTCCAGTCAAATTCTCACAATATTTGGCATTCCAGAACAACAACAAATTCAGCTAATATTTCAAGAAAACAAATGCTCCCCAAAGCTAAAAAATCTTGTTGTAGACAAGAATTGGAAATAACAGTAGGTCACATCCACTTATTTGCTAATCAGCCAGACAAACAATAATATATTTCATAAATCCAGAAATGAAACAGTGTTGGACAAAACTACCAGTACCACTATCTTATAGAGGGCAAGCATAAATTAATTTATAAAAGCTGGGAATCCTTAATGGTACTCTCCCAGTAGTGTCACAATGAAACTAGCAAACAGTCGAGCTACTCTCCATCCTCTAAACAATATAATAATAAAATAATGCAATATTATATCTCTGGTAAGTACCACAAAACACAACTAAGTTTGTGTGGAAGAGTCTTGTATGCAAATGAAACATATGAGTAACTAGCAGAACCAAGTAAAAACGGCAGTTTCAATATTCAAAATTTGACAAACATGATTTGACCAGAATCTGGTTATTAGAACACTTACAGATAATATCTTGTTACGAGTGCCATCTAACTGCATGAAATATGCATCAAGCAACATCTCCAAGTCCTCAACATCATTATCATCCCCATAATGGCTAGTCACAAGACTTTCACTTCTGTTGGAACTGAGTTGTCGAACAGAACGTGCGGAATTAGGAAGGTTATTTGAGGTTGTGGCACCCAATTGAGCCTCATCAAATTGTTGATTCAGCAACCACTTCCTTGTTAAATATAGTTGTGCCATATCTTCGTTGTCATCTAACAAATGTTCAATTTCATCTCGTACCTGCAAAAGAGGGTCATACACTTCCTAAATATGATATCTCAAAGATGATGGAATGCATCATCACTTACAAGGTAAAATAGCCTGCAATAATTATCTATATAAAACGGTGAACAAAACCCTCTAATTGAAAGCACAATAATGACTATTGAACATAGAACAATGTAACAAAGTAAACTAAAAATCAAATAGTCGGGTAAAAAGTAGCTTTTCATGCTTTATTCAAGGCCTGCATGATTGAATGCAGTCCAACTACACATTACTGCTTTGAAAAATCTCAAACCACTCCATGCACAATAACTATAAAAGAATTATGTTGGCAAATTTTAATAATCGAAACCTCCCTCCATGGTCTATTATTAACCGGTGTCTTGACCAGTTCAACAAACTAAATTAAATAAAATGAAATCAGACTCCTGCAAAATTTCAATCCAATTGGTAGATTTAGTACATCTCTTTCCCAAAGGTTAGTCCTCCAATCTCAATTTCCACATCCATCTATGGGTAACAAAAGAACTATTGACATCAACTTAACTATAACAACAACAACCAGAGGAAGAACCACATGCTACTACTCATACAACATACCTTCTGCACTCGTGCCAGCAACCGCGTGAGATTACTCTTCAAACTTCTCACATGTTCAAGATTCTTGGTGCTAACATTCCTAGCCAATTCATCCAACACAGGGTAAGCACCTCTCTCAAGGTCTGCCACACTGGAGTCTAGATAAGTACACACAGCCTCCAAAGCAATCTCCAGAACTTGAAACTCAAACGGAAGCTCAGACTGCAAACCTTCGGCCATCTCCGGCGTAGGCAACCATTGTCTGCCATTAGAACCCTGCATTTCACCTTCCTGCTCCTCCACGGCGCCGAGAAGTTTCGGTTGACTCTTGCCCGGAAGCTGTTGCCGGAGCTGCTCAACAAAGGGAAGAACCTCCTGCCGAAGAGGATCAAGCAATAACACTTCTTCAGCCGTCACTATAGCCTTTATGAACTCCAAATTAACCACCATTGCTTTCTCTCTAGCTGCAACAAAAAAATAAAATAAAATTCCATCAACCATTATTCATCACAATCACAATATCATCCAGACCAAACAAAATTCCACATAAACCCTAATTTTCACAACACGATGAATATGAAAATTGAAAAGTGAAAATAAAAAAGATATGGAAATTCAATTACCGAGGATGTTCGAGGAGTGGGAGAAGACAGGCCCCAGAATTCTCAGGTCTCGAGCAGGAATCCCGGCGTGGTGGATGATAGCGTTCTTCTCCCACTCCACGAGCTCGGACCGGCCAGACCGGTCGAACCTCATCCAGAGCCGGGCGCCGCCAGTCTTCTTCTTCACCTTGGTCAAGGCGCCGACGCCCGCAGCGGCTGTTTCTGGCGAGGCAGTGACCCCAGCCGCGTAGGGCGGCTGCGGCGGAGACGGAGGAGGGGGCGGCGCAGCAGTCTTTTTAGGGCGCCGGCGAGAGGCGGGGCGGCGGAAGGAAAAGGGACTCTTACCCATTATAATTGATAGTAACAATACCAATAATTAGGTATTAAAATGATGGTTATTGATATTTAAATTGAATGAATTGAAAAGCGAGAGAGTGAAGGTAGCGTTTTTGTTGCTGTTGTGATCCTTCACCCTCTCCGGCATCATCATACATGGACGGAACAGTCCTCCGCCGCACACCCACGCCGTGCGAATACCCTTTTATCCATTCACACACATGCACCGTTCCGAAAACGCACGCACCAATAACAACCTCTCTAATACCCTTAAACTATATCATTATTAATTGCTAATCATATATTTTAACACACGTTGAGTTCTATTAAAATCTCCAATATCATATTTAATTAATCATTTCTTATCTTATAAGTTTTAACTAACTTTACCTAATTTTAAAAACATTAATTCAAATTGCGTAATAATATCATTTCTTTGTTTTTGAGATTTGCTTTGTCTTTTAGTTTTTCAAAAAGTTTACGTTTTTTTTCCTTTTCTACTCGTTGTACTTTTAAAAAAAAATCACTTTTAGGTTTTGAAAATAATTATTTAATATTATTTTAGATTCTACACGTGTTATCTTTTTAACCTTCTCATCTAAAGTTATCAAAACTAAAAGTATAAAAACCAATTTGAGTATGAATTAAAAGAAATAATTAATAATCCAAGGAGTAATCTTAGCTTTTTCCATAATTTTCTCTAGACGTTAAATTTGAGCAAAAATAATTTTTTTTATTGATCATGTCAAATTTAGAAGAAAATTAAAAGATATTTGATAAGACAACTTGCATTCAATGCATTAAATGATATTAAAAATGAGATCAGTTCACACTTTAACTGTAAAATAGATATTTATTTCCTTTATTATAATAATAAATAATAATAGGTTATTCTTATTCATATATACACATATACTTATATTAAAATTGTATGAAAAAATAATAAATTAATAAATTTAATTATATATTTTATATCTATTTATGTATCAAAATGATAATTTTATTAAATATATAATAATTTATTAATTCATAATTTTTTTTATATTTTAAAACTTTAATATATAATTTTTATGAAAAGGAGAGGGGAATATTAAAGTTTATAGCGACTTATAATTTAGTTGTAATTTTTATTTTTTGGGAGGTTTTTGTGAGTACGGTGTTAAGTGGGTAATATCCCATGGATATGCCTCGGCAAATATCCAAAAGAGACACGACGTCGTTTGAGTGAATAAAAAATAGAAATTCATATTTAAAAAATCGAACCCACGACCTTCTGATCCGAAGTCAGACGCGCTAATCCACTGCGCTATGCGGTCATTTTTGATAACTCATTGGCAAATAATTTTATTTATTAATAGCATGAAATATTAAACAATATTAAACTCTTTGTTATGACTTTTGAGTTTTGTTAAAGTGATGACTGAGGGTTTAGGGTGATGATAAAACGGAGAATACAAAATCCAAACTTGTTTATTTTTGAATTTTTTGTAATAAATTTAAACACAAACATTTAATATAAAAACTTTTAAGTTGACAAAATTAGTTGTTGGAACCCGTTTCGAAAATGTAAAAAATTTACACATTAATTTTTTTAAGAGATTTGAATAAAACAAAATTTTTTATATAGGTAATGAGTGTCATGTTGACTGATCATTATATATTATTTTCGTATATTTACAAGTCTTACGCTATTTAAAAGAATCTTACATCTCTTAAGATTTGAAATTAAGAATAATTTACATATATATTCCACTTTTAACTTACCGAGACACCTTTAAAAATAATTGAGACTGATAAGAATTTCAAAACAAACAATACCTTAAATATTAGAATGGATCCTTAATAACTTATTAGTATTATTAAGGTTAACAAAGTATCTACCTGATTTTTATATATATACCCATTTTTTACATTAACTTTTTTATATTAAATTTCATTTACATTTAATAATTTCTGAAACAAAATTAATTGACATTTCAATAATTTAATGATATTATAATAAGATACATATTTACTATAAGTGTTAGAGATAATTACGTTTATTTAATCTTAATTACTTATGAGAAAAAAAGTTAATCATAGAGAATAATTGCATTTTACATTTTTTTAAAGAAAAAATTACAAAGAAAAAAATACATTTTGTTGAAAACATCCACATATCGTTCAGACCTACAAATTGATAATGGTATATATCACATTTATTTACTATTAATAAATTATCTGATAAAGTTAATCACTAATGAACATTTCAATAACTCCTTGACAAAATTAATCAATTGTGAGACATATCTAACCATTAATGTCACAAGTACTTGTTGATAATTATATCCATGCATTCACTTGCTATTACCTGCTTGTGAAACAAAGTCAAGCATGATTAAATATTTCAAAAATTTCATAACACTATTAATTACTTTTATTTAATTAGTGTCACAAATACAATCAATAATTATATGTAATTACATTCATCAAATTTTAACAGGGTCATCTTTTCTTTTGATATTAGCAGATACTAACTACTATATTCTGATGAAGAATAAAAAATAATAATGATATTTCAAGGGCTGTTATCGTCCTATCAAATTACCAAGCATCACCTAAACATACATGAAACTTGTTTTGCATGGTTCTGGTATTGTTTCTTCTCATTGTCAAAATATATGATTGGAAAAAGAAGAGAACTGATATTAAGTCCCTTAGGAAAGGAAGGAGGATCCCCAGAGAAGAGATATTGTTGTGTCAATCACTAATGTAGTTTATTTCACAATTCTACATACAATGAGAGTCATTTATGCACTCTCTATCAAATGCACAAATTTACATACAAAGGGTATTGATTAGTTGCATTAGGACCATTCCATGGTGTTTACATATATGTTCCTAAAGATAATTTGAAGTGTGTATAGTTTGGCTTTACCGTCATTACCATTTTCTTGAGCTGCAATTCTTATCAGCTATGTATCTGTAGGCTCATTTTTTCAATATTTCCTATGGTTAATCAGGTGGTTAGTGAATCCGGAAGTGAATTTGGTGATCCAAGAATTTTGCCACCAACATCAGGAAAGGACTCATAATCATCCAGTGCACTGACTTTTCCATCCCTGCTGATCTTAACTGGATACTGCATCAAATGTCCTCTCATGTAATTCATTTCATCTGATACATACGTGCCCCAGTTTTGTTTTGCAATTTTGTTGACTTGTCTAACACATTCCAGGCTCTGAGGTTCATCAAAAACATGATCAAGACTACCAAGGTGCTCAGCCCACAGTGACATTCTGTATCCATACACCTACACCAACACAATCAATGTCGGAATTGCCAATTACTTAGAAAAGAAAAGATGAAATTACATAATCAAGACCTATACACGTATTTCCAGGTACAACTATTATATCTCATTATCAAATGTAGCTGGAGCTTCAAACCTGGCCATGTGGATGTGGTTTCTGTTCTGTCCATGTATATTTTGGTTGATAAGCTCCCATAGCTATTTCTGTGTCCCTCGAGCCATCTAATGATCTCTGGTTAATATTTGCTGATCCAATAATTACGTAATCGTCATCAACTATCATTCCTTTGGCATGAACATAAATCATAAAACGTCTGAATTTTTTTACTGCTACCTGATTAAAGAAGGGGGAAATAACAATAAGATCATAAACTATCACCACACGACATAAAAATTCTGCAAATGGAGTTGTATGCACCAACTGATTACTTCTTAAATGGAATAGTCATCCTATAACTTTCACAAATTTCTTCCATATCTTTGTTCTCTTTATTTTATACAATTTTCTTTATTTTTTCTAATTTTCTCAAAACAAAGCAAGTATTCCTACAAAATATAGCAGGTGCCAGATAATCCAGATCATCAGGTGCTATAAAAGGCATGTGTACAGTCTCAGTGACTAACAAAAGGAACTCATCAAGGCATTATCTGTGTAAGCTTTTATAAAGGGTAAAATCAGAAGGACAAATATGTGAAATATAACAGTTTTTTTTTCTTTTATTTCTTCCCTTGCAGGTGTATTTTCCGTCCATTTATAAAGGTTAAGAAATTGGATCCAGAAGACCATCAAATAAACATTAATATTTGATTTATCAACAAATGTTAGTTGTCAAAACAATTTATAACTAAATGCACTCTAAGCTTGCAATCTTGATTATGTCAATTTTATGCAGATTACATTTTGAATTAACTTTTGTATATGAATGACGGGACTTTAATCTCTCCATTCCACCAATTTAATTTTATATTCCAAAAAAATCATATGTTCATGAGAACGGTTCAGTAAACTCACTTGATCATATTGATCCAATAATTCTTAAAAAGAAAATAGACTATAGAGTCTGTGCGACTGTAACTCAAAATTATCATCTCATTAATCATAACTTTATTCCAAAATGGCATATAACTTTAGGACTCCAAATATGATCCATGTGATAGGAATTCAAAACTATCATATCTAATATTTGTAGTAAAAATTACATAACCCCTAAACCTAAAAGATTCAATCACATGTAACGAAAGGCCCGTGAAATTTCAAAGATCACAACATTTTCCTTCAGCTACACCATTTTCTTGTATGGTGTACGGACAAGTGGATCATGAATCATATAATGTAAACGTAATAAAGCAATAAAACTGGCACTAGAAATATCCACGATGTAAATAGGATGACAAAATTTTGCATTACCTCAGCACGAAAATTGTGAAAAGCAATCCAAAATGATATTTCATTAAAAACAAACAAAACACCAATACCCCAAGCAAACTGACATGACTCCAAATATTTGTAAGAACACTATAAGATAAAAGTATATTTTCAGTTCTCTAAAAGTTTCAAATTCAGAATAATCCCTTTAAAACTTATTATTCGTTTTTAGTTCCTCTAATTTCTAAATGTATTAGTTTTGGTCCTTAAAATCATTTAGACAATACTTTATAAGAGAACAAAATTAATGTAGAAAGCATTTAGAAGACCAAAAATAGTACTCTTCAAAATTTAAAAAGACAAAAAAAAAACAGATAAAAAACTAAACTTTAAATATTTGAAAAGAATTAAAACCATGTTTATATAATTAATATAAAACCTTACTACTTTAGGCTAATTGTATATCTCCCCTTAATCTCAGGAACCAAAATTGAAAAAAGAAAACCATCTGAATCCCTAAACCTTAGTCAAATTAATCAGTGTTGAAACAAGCAAAAAAAGAAAACACAAATCTTGACAGGGCCCTATGGAGCGCGATTAGCCACAGCCACACGCAACAAACGGTTACAGAGACCCTCCATGGTGGTGACTTCAGACTTCATCACAATTTCATTCCGAACGGACTCAGAATCGTTGTTCAGACCGTGCAGAACAAAAAGCATGAGAAACGTGTCGAGCTTCTCGGACACGTTCCCACGCGTGAGAAGAAGCTTCACCTCCTCGGCAACCGAGCAACTTGTTGAGGTAACCGAACAAGTCGCCGTCTCGAACTTTGAGCGCTAGCAGCTCGCCAACGACGTCATGGAAGCGGAGGAGGTCATTGGAGTAGAAGCTCCGGACCTGGTTCCAGACGTCGCAGCAGGACCTGTAGGAACGGAAGTGAACCAGTAATGTAGGATCGATGGAGTGCCATAGCAGGGGAACGAGTTGGTAATCGATTCGCATCCATTGGTCCCTTTCTTCTTCAGCGATTTCGATCGCTTTCTTCGTCAAGTGATCGGCGAGACCTTGGTCTTGGAACCAGAGGAGGACGTAGCCCTCCCAGGAGAGGTAGTTTTGCCCATTGAATTTCTCGGGGGTTATGACGGAAGTGGTAGAAAAATCTTTTGGAGAATCAGATTTAGAAGCAGAAGAAGAAGCCATGGATAAAGATTGGAAGTTGGAAAGCTATGGGAATTGAGAAGAGTAGTGTGAGACATGCATGCGTCACTAGTGGAAAAATAGCTTTCTACGACAGGTTTTATCACGGTCGTAATCCACTCGTCATAGTATGTGGCGCGTTGGCAATTTTGTAATAAAATCATAAACTTTCTATGTCGGGTAAGTTTTAACCGACATAGTAAGTGGAAAGGTCACTTTCTATGTCGGGTAAAATTTAACCGACATAGAAAGTGTCTTTGATGACGGGTGTTAGGGCAACCGACATAGTATCTTCTGCTCCTCCCGCGCACCATTTCATTTCATCACTTCCCCCCATAGCAGAGCTCCCTGTACGTTTCTCCCTACGCTCCATTTCCTTTCATCAGTTCACCCATACCAGAGCTCCCCCGTTCGTTTGTATACGTTTCTCCGCACCCACATTTGCTCGTCACGCCACCTGCCAACGCTTCGTGCCGCCTGCCGCTACCGGTGCCGTCGCTCGGGATACGTTTCTCCCCACCCGGCCTACGCACGTCACGCCACCTGCCACCTCTCGTAGGTCTTCAAGAGGTAAGATTTCGTGCTTGCTTTAGCCAATGTAGGTTTATAGTATTGAATCTAGTAAGTAATAATGCTGTCAAGAGAGGGAAACATCACGGGTGCCTTTAGCTAATTTAGAGATGTATTGTAAGTAGTTTAGTCATTTGAATGTGTTTCTGAAGACATTCTTTCGTGATTTTGATTTTGAACATTAGATTTGTATTATAATGTAGTTATTTTGAGAGTGGAGTTGGATTTCGTGTAGGCATTATAATGTAGTTATTTCGTGTTTCTGTAGCTAATTTGATTTTGAAAATTAGATTTGTAACAATGGATCGGAGTTGGATCAATTATAGACGAACAACAAATGAATATGAGAGTGGAGTAGAACAATTCCTTGAATTTGCTAAGATGAATGTTCCGGATAATGATGGAAGATTCTATTGCACTTTTTTGTTTATCTTCAGTCATATTGTCTAAACTAATAACTATTATTTTTTTCTTTGAACACAGATATGGCAGATTCATCTGGTACCCCTCCTCCTACACAGTCCCCCCCTCCTACACAAGGTGGTGATCGAGTCGGCCGTCTACCGGGAAAAAGGGTAGGCGTGCTACACGGTTGAGGAGTTGAATATCGATCGCAGCTCCGATCGGAAATTGCCTATCCGAGTTTGACATGCAAGCCGGTAGAGCCATTGGAGAGCACAGTGCTAGATTCACTAGCTATGTGGCCTTGCTTGGGAGAAGCAAGGTTAGTATTCTTATTGAGGATTGAGACCATGTTCCGAGACACTGAAGAACCGGATTTGGCGAGTATCCTGGTACCTACTCTTACTTGAACATTTAACATGTATATATATTTAACTTTTTTGGGAACTTCATGTTATTTTTATTGTGTAGGTCACATATGATGTCCCTAACACCACTTTGTTGAGGACAAAGTGGATCTCATATGCTTGGGGAACGCTGGAGAGGTTTTAAGAGTGATCCGACCGGTCGATACATATATGGGGCATTGAGCAACAAGAACCCATGTGACCGATGATCGGTTTTTGGATGAGGAGACATGGCGAGGCATTTCGGACTCGGCGATTAGACCCTAGGTTTCGGGTTAGCACATTTGTCATTTGTTTGCGGTAATTTTTTTTAAATAGAGGTTTTAAATTCGGTATTTAACATGGAATGCAACGAGGCCAAGAGGCGAAGGCACGGGATATTCGGAGGAAGAATATCCACCCCCACAGAGTTGTCTCGTGGGGGTTATGAGAAATTGGAGGAGAAGATGATGAAGGAGACTTCTTCAAGTCTACCTTCGAGATGACTCCGTTGTGAGTTCTGTCACCCGCCCTTCACGCCATGATAAATGGAAGAGAGCTCGCCGAACTCATCAGGGAATTACTTATCTAAGCAAACTAATGTTGTTGCTCAACGTATTGTAAGTAGCATATCCTAAACTAATTATATATGTTATACTACAATAGGCATTTGTATTGCTAAAAAATCATTCGTTTGTGTTGTAGGATGAGTTGGTTGAGCAGAGCACTCGGGGATCATTCCACCCACATGGCCGTCGGGATATATTGGCAGTGGCCATTGGTACCCCGAGCATCCTGGACGTGTTCATGGTGCTTGGACGAGGGTGGACATCGAGACGATACTTTGGTGCCCCACCCGTGGCAACTCCTTCTTTGAGGCAGCTGAATGAGCAAGAGTTTGAGTCCCTCAAACAACAAATTAGGAAGGAGATTCGAGATGAGGTGTACTCGACTTGAAGGCGAGTTATTGAGCTCAATGCGAGCGAGTTGGCATCTTTGTCATCTCAACCTTCCGTCCCCGTACGAGCGGCATCCCCGATTCATGTCGGCACAAAGGAGAGTTGTGATGCTCCCGATAGAGGGCGAGAGGTTGCTCCTACCGACACTGCTGACCGTCGGTTGTATGTTGCGGGTCCTCCCGAGCATTTGGTGACATACGGTACATATTATATCTTTGACATGTATTTGGTACGGTGTTACGCATTATATAGTCTAAAATATTTTATCCTTTGTTTACCTTAGGGAAAATGTATGCATTGGGGTCAACCATCCACCACCGAGTATTGGAGATGATATGATCGAGTGGTGGTTGTAGATGTCCGGGATCTGCTTGCCCCAATCCCTATTCCCATCGAAGAGGTTCAAACAGTGGGACAGGCACCTGGCCATTTTATCTTATGGCCGGTTTCATTAACAAGACCCATCCCAACACATGCACGGGTTGATTTATGCATTGAACGATAGTACTTATTATTTTTTGATAGGTTGATGTATATTAATGTTATTGATTTTTGGTACTTGTATAGGAAGAGGCTGAAAAAGCAAAGGAAGTTGTGCATGAATCACCACCACCACCATCTACTTTACGACGACTCGGTGCACTGCGGCGACTATCGGGACCACTCCCATACGGTTAGATATGCCACCCGAAGTCGTATGCGGGACCAAGACGATCCCT